GATAAACTGATAGCAGGGCCTCCGTCCGAAGCTGCTTCTGATTAAAACTAGACTAGGAGTTGCTATCACAAGGAGATTGCTGCCTTCAACTTAAATACATGTTATGCAACGTAATTGCAACTTCAATACAATCAGAAGAATAATAGAGCAATAGTCTATTGTTCCTCTGTGATACTTCAGGTAGCCGAAAAGTATTTGTGTCCAAATACTTTTGAGCTACCTGGGGTGATACAATGTAATTGCAATTTTGAGCATAGGTAGCACAACAATAGCACTATATCATGGGTCGTGATGTACTGCTGTTGTTGGGCTACTGTTTTCAGATGTCAAAATTCATTAAAGTATTAGCAAAAAACACTCACAATTTTATATCTTTGCAATAAATTTGCATTTGAAGTTGCAATAGAAATTGCATAACTTAACATGGCCTTTAGATAATAAATTGTTATAGATAACATGGCCTTTAGATAATAAGTATGGGTTTAACACATACAAATGCAAGCAAACTGGACAGAAATAACAAAAAACAAATAGTTTTTTAAAATATACAGGTAAGTATGGCTTTTTTTCTTTCTGCTGATATCCATCAAGGCAATGAACTTTTTAGTAATCATTCTAGAGGCAAGCAATGTGCTTTTATGAGTTTATCGGCACTTTAACCTTGACAATAATCACAGCGAAGTCTTTGGGGTATCTTGGCAAAGACGTTGCAAGTTCTGTAACATTTTGTGGCAAGTTAATACAATGCCCTGAATAACCTCGTTGACCACCAGGTTTAACATACACTCTCATGATTGGCAAAGCACAAGCAATTAACATTTCCTCAACCTGAGTTAAATTTTGTAGTTCATCTGGAACATAAGAAGGTATCATCAAGTTTTCACAAGAAAATTTTTTAGGAGATTTTTTATCTCTAAAGCATCCTGAACACACATAATTATGGTGAACTAGGTTTAGATTTTATTGGCCATGCCTCATGGCAAACTGTACACTGAGCAACAGTGTATTGCATTGACTTGTTTATATTAGCTTTTCCCAACATTGCTCCTCAATTCTACCATTATTGCTTATATCAAACAAACTTAAGTAATCCTCTTTATTTATTCTGTGTTGCAGCTTTGCCCGCTTTTGTTTTTTAGATAATGTGTCTTTGTCAAGTTTTATTTGCCTTTCCTTGTCAGTTTCTTCTGACCGCCTCCTTTTTTACACTTGTTTTCTTTTTGAAGTCTCACTTTTCCCCCACTATTAGTTTCCTCAGACTGCTTTCTCGTTTTAGACTCCTTTTCTTTTCGAAGTCTTGTTTTTTGCTCACTGTCAGTTTCCTCTGACTGTTTTCTTTTTTTATACTCATTAGCTTTTTGAAGTCTTAATTGTTTCTCACAGGCAGTTTCATGAGACTGCTTTCTTTTATTATACTCATTAACTTTGTTAAGTCTAGCTTGTTTATCATGATCAGTTTCTACTGAATGTTTCATTTTCTGGTATTCTCGATCTTTTACACATTTATTGTTTTGATCAGGCATTTTACACATACTGAATTGCACAGGTACAATTTCAAAGTTGGCATGTAGTCCAACTGACAGACAATACAAATATTGCTCTAATTCCAGAATATTATAAAATTTCATGACAACAGCAGTGCCATTAGGATCAGGCATGCCACTAGAATCTCTAGCATGCAAGTCAATAAGATAAAAATCATCTGTTTTCTTAATCAAGGCCATCATATAACCTTCTAATATAATAATAATAGCATAACTTTCATCTGAAAATAAATTCAACAGTGCAGTGTGAATGTCATAGTAGTGGCACTCAATTTCTCGATCTGTTATAACAAGACCTTGAATTTCTGTTCTATATGTTATGAGACAAATTTTGTTTTCATTTTGTGCCTCAACGGGCTCCACCACAATGGGTGGATCAATATTACTTTGTGCCTCAATGGGCTCTACCACAATGGGTGGATCAACAATATTTTGTGCCTCAAGGGGTTTCACCACAATGACAATGGGCAGATGATTAATATTTTGTGCCTCAACAGGCTCCACCACAATGGGTGGGTCAACAATATTTTGTGTCTCAATGTTTACCACCGTCACAGGTGATGTAGTTTTTTCCTGTACATGGCCAGGCGATATGGTGTGATTTGATCGACATAAATCGTACGAAAAGTCATTTGGCATATTCATGCAATATGAAACATTCACAAAAATCGGTAAATTTCCCACAGACAAAAAATCTTCATCCGATTCTAACATTATAAAGCCACTATTCAGCGCTTTTAGGTACATTTTGTCTCCTTGTAATAAGACATTATTAAATGTAATTTTTGACCACGACGATATTATTAAGGGAAATTTCGGGCTGTAAGAAGCGCCGATAAACTCATAAAAGCGCGTTGCCTTGCCTCTAGAATGATTACTAAAAAGTTCATCGCCTTGATGGATATCAGCAGAAAGAAATAAAGCCATACTTACCTGTATATTTTCAGGAATTTTTTCGTACAATGTCTTTGTGGTTTGCATTCGGACTCAAGCATGTCGAATTTGCATACGCAATAAAAATTATTCGAAGTCGAACCCCCCCAAATCTCCCAACATACTTGAAGCTTAATGTATGCCCCCGGAATTACGACAAACATCTTTCCGGACAGACACAAATCCAAACTTTGACAATACATAAATCGGCGCAAAAGCCTGGGTCGACTGAACTCTGGAGAAACCTCAGAATGTCAACAATAGTGTGCTGCCTCGCTGACGCTCAACAGCAATTACAGTCGCTTCTGCGCATGTGCTAAGTGTGCTCACATTTGTTTTGATTCTTGCAATTTGAAAATAGTGCGCCATATTTAGTGTTCACAATTCACCTTTCCGACGGTCAAATCACATGTCAAAAACACGTGATCAAATGACAAAAATTCGGACAAACACATGGTCGGACATACTATAGTTTATATAGAGTTGCAGGGGCACATTGTGTTTAAAAGGCTAATTTCCACTCCGGAAAACGAGCAGCGGATCGGATCGGAACAAAAGATAATCCGCGCGTGCGCTGCCTGTTGAATTTTTGGCTATATTGATCCGAAAGCGTCCGAGACCGGATAAAAAAAGTTCCAATAGTTTTAACTTTTTTTGATCCAATCCGAAATCACTTCATGGATCGGACCAGCTCGGAAAAAAATCCGATCCGCTGCTCGTTTTCCGGAATGGAAATTAGCCTAAAGCTCTTTATATGTCTCAAAATGTAAAAGAAATACGATTTCGGCCGTTTTCTTACCTCACAAAAATGTTGTCTAACGCTCACGGTTCGAAAATGTTTAGCAAAATGACATTGAACGAGCTAAAAACATACCTTCGCGAGCGCGGTGTTAGCGTCAATGGCTACTTAAAACCTGCGTTGGTAAATATTGCAACTGCTGTTGAAAAGATGACGCTGCCAATCGATCCAAATTTTGAGAAGAAAAAGAGTTCTCAAGATAACCATAAATTAATTATTCATGATATGGAAATAGCTGATCCATTTACTTCCTCGTACAACTTGGTAAATAAATTCGGTGATTCTCCTCCTTTTAGATTGTATGATATTTTTAATTACCTGATAAACCATTTCACAAACTAAGACAAACAGGGTCTGGCCGCCTACAAGTCGTTTGACGAGTATCGGTTGTTTCGAGATGGTTATGTTCAATCTCTTTTGACTGAAACTATCTTAGACGCGGGAGCTCATTTGTACGTTGACCAAGTGAAGCCTGCAATGAAAGTTAAAACTGACGAAGGAAACGCGTACTATGACCTTTGGTTCATACTCGAAGGTAAAGGGGCCAATAGGGGAAGCGTTATAGCCGCAAGATTTCGTTGTTTGGGAGGTCATGACGGTGGCCGCAAGCACATTGCATGTACTCCTTAGAAGATTTATTAAACACGCATGAGACGGACAGTGTTACTAGCTGCAAGAACAGTGATGGTTAGCTTCCGTCGCAACCTAACAAGAGTTAGGATAAGCTGTTACCAAGTTGATAGCTTGGTGACACTATATTTTTGCTGAAAATAACAAAATTCAAAAGGTTTGTTTGACATGGTGAAATATTGACAGATCAAGGAACTGTTTTTAAGCTAGACACTTAGTAGTTGGGCTTCACAAAGCAATTATTCGGAGCAGAACATGATGGTTAGTATATAATCCCACCTTCAAATATCTGTTTGTAGTCAATTTCCTCGTTTTCTCTTTCCCTTTCCACATGTGTAACCGGGCAGCTTTCTCTTTTACCAGGTTATGAATAGCATGCACAACACTAATATCCAGACCTATGATATAGAAAAACATTGTATAATATTTTACACTGGCATCTGATTTGACGAACAAACTCTACCTGTGTAATGAACACACTTCTTTTTATCTTCCACATTTTCCAAAAATATTGCCCTTCTCATATTGTTTTTGTTCTTCAAGCAGCTATCTGGGAACATCTTTATATCACTTAGGGAAATGTTTGTCTATAAATGTGGACATATTTTATAACGGTTTTATTTTAATGATATAGTACACTTGCCATTTGAGTATTTATCACATAATAATACATAGGCAAAAAGGATATCCATTGTTCCAATTTAGAAGAGATACATAATTATGTATTATGATGAATGTTATATCCTCTTTGACTATGCTACCAGACTGTTTTTTTGAAGATCATGATAACTTCAAGTCATGATACAATCCAACTTGTAATGTCCCCTTCACTGATATGTAATAACTCACACAAATCTTTAGCTTTTCTACAATCGCTTTAATACAAAATACACAAACGATACAAAACGAAAGAACACCTTCAAACGACAGCCTCGTGATAAGTTGTCACGTGACTTTAATCTAATACAAATAAATCTAATCAAGTATCCCGATTCTACATCCCTTCCTTTCCAGTCAATTTAGTGTTCGAACAACCAATCATAACTTCAACTACACGAACTATCGTGTTCATACTGTTTCGTAATATATTTGTATCACTTTGGTTTGTCCATGATAAAATCATTGAATCGCTCGGGTAATCTAATCTCCCGCTTAAGTCTATTGGTGATAACCGTTTCGCTATCCGGTTGCGGCTGTTGTTGGGACTCGCTTTCCGTAGCTGTCTCCACTGGATTATTATATGGTTTTACAAATGAACTGTCTCTCCTAAAGATCGAGCCATCGTCCGCCTCTACCATCACTTCGTTCCCCTCCTTCGTGACCACCGTATACGGCTCCTTTTCGTAGTTGGCAGCTAACTTCCCTGACGTTTTAGTGTTCCGTAGTAGTACTTGGTCTCCTGGTAGAATAGTGCTATCATTTGCCCTCCTTTTTTCATCTGCATTAGCTTTTTGTACTAGCTTGTTTCGCCAATCGCGATCCCTTATGTTCTCATCAAAGTCGTCTATATCTCCCCTAAGTTCTGGAAGTTTACTTCTCAGTTCACGTTTGAACATAAGGAACGCTGGTGTTTTTCCAGTTGTGACTTGCGGTGTTGTTCTATACGCAAGAAGGAATTGTGGTAACTCCTTTCTCCAATCCTTGCCTTCAACTTGGGCCACTTTTAGTGCCTTGAGAAGAGTGCGATTTTGGCGCTCCACTTCACCGTTAGCTTGTGGCCAAAGTGGTGGTGACGTTCTGTGTTCAATATTCACTTGTTGTAAAAACCTCTTGAACTCCTCACTAACAAACTGTCTCCCGTTGTCTGATTTCAACGAGTAAGGAAAACCAAATCTAGCAAAAATTTCGTTTAGCGCTTTGATAATCTTTTCTGAAGTTGTTGAGTGCATAATGGAAACTTCGTAGTATCGACTATAGTAATCCACGACTACCAGCAAGTAATCTCCGGTTGGCATTGGCCCCATCAAGTCTACTGCGACATCTTGCCATGGGCCTGTAGGCATCTCGGTCCGTTTCATGGGTTCCGGTACATTATACTGGCTGACTACTTGGCATCCATGACACGATTTACACACTCGTTCAGCATCTATGTCCATCTTGGGCCACCATACTTTCGTTCTTAATCTGCTTTTCGTCTTTACAATTCCTTGATGGCCTTTATGTGCCGCTTCCAAAACCTTTCTTCGCAACATCTGAGGAATAACGATTCGATTCCCCGTAAAACAAGTCTACCAATCATGCAGAGCTCATTCTTTACACACGCATATGCCGACAGTTTACATTTAGTCCAATCTCCCGATTCGATATAGTATCGCACACTTTGTAATTCAGCGTCGATTTCTGACGCTCTCTCTATTTCTTTAGTCGTTAAGGCCACGGGTGTCGCTTGTATGGCAACGAAACGGATGACGTCCTCTTTCTCGCTGCTGTGGTCTTTTGGACTCTTCTGGTTCATTCTAGACAAAGCATCGGCAATGTTCGTCTTTCCAGGCCGGTAAACGACCTTGAAGTTGTGGCACTGAAGCCGTAATACCCATCTTTCGATCCTTCCTGAGGGTTTCGATGTCTTGTTGAAAATACACTCTAGTGGCTTATGGTCAGTTTCCAGTTCGAATTCACGACCATACACATATATATTAAACCGCTCGCAAGCCCACACGAGTGCAAGTGCTTCCTTCTCTGTTTGGGCGTATCGCCGCTCTACGTCCGAGAGGTTCCTGGAGGCATACGACACCCCTCTCCACTGGTCTCCTTGCAGTTGTAGCAACACAGCTCCAATTCCCTCCGGCCCTGCATCCGCGACGATTCTCGTTTTGCAGTCGTTTCTAAAATAAGCCAGGGCTTCAGCCCTACTCATCATCCATTTCAGCTTCTCAAACGCCTGCTGTTGCTCTGACCCCCAAACGAACGACTGTCCCTTTCTTAGTACACGACGCAACGGCTCTGCAATCTGCGCAAAGTCCGGGATAAACTTTGCCGAATACTGTACTAACTGTACGAACGACCTAACTTCCGAAACATTTTGTGGTGGTCTAGCGTTGACTACAGCAGCAACTTTCTCTTCACTTGGTGCCACCCCTTTGGCACTGAGCTTGTGGCCAAAAAAAGTCAAGGCCGGAAGTCTAAACTGACATTTGTCCCCATTTACGGTAAGACCTTTCTCTCGCAGACGTGTTAGTACTTTATAAAGATTCTCATCATGCTCGGATAAATCAGCCCCGTAAACAATAAGATCATCCGCAATATTTGCCACCCCATTGCACCCTGCCAAAACATCTGAGATTATTTTCTGGTACTTCTCTGGAGCTGAAGTAATTCCGAACATCAGTCGACGATATCTATATAACCCCCGGTGTGTCACGAACGTCGTAATGTCCCTTGAATCCTCTGTGAGTTCCACTTGATTAAACCCCCATTTGAGGTCTATCTTACTAAATACCGTTGCTCCATTTAAATCATACAAAACTTCTTCTATGGTCGGAATAGGATGTCTTTCCCTTATAATCGCCTCGTTTGCCCTTCTCATATCGATACAAACTCGAATATCCTTTCCATCTGCTTTTGGAACAACCACTAATGGTGAAACCCACCTTGTAGGCGTTGCTTCTGGCAATTCTTCGAATAATACCCATGTCGAGTAACTCGTCTAACTTATCGTCTACTTTGTCCCTTAGACCGAATGGCAGTCTACGCACCGGCTGAGCAACTGGTATAACATCCTCATCGATATGCAGTTTCAGCTTGTAATCCTTAAGTAGTCCGACTCCAGTAAAAATATCAGCAAACTCCTCACGAATATCTGAATCACTTCCCTCTTGTGTGACCGTGTTAACAGTTCTTATTATTTCTTCAGGTCCAACCCTGAGTACTTTCAATTGTTCGGCTGTTTTCTTCCCCAATATAGGCCTTCCGTTCTCTTTAATCACAGTGAAATCGTCTACACATCTTTCACTGTTTGCCTCGCACACAATCTCTGCTGTAAATGTCCCTACAACGTCGATTGGCTCTTTCTGTCCATACGCAAACAGTTTCTTGTCTGATACCCTTGACTCGCACCTAACATGTTTTCTTTTAAGATAGTTCCAGAGTTCACAATCAATTACATTACATGTTGCACCTGAGTCAATTAAAATACTTTCTAGTTTCACTCCTCCAATAATTAGATCCACCTGACCCATATCTTTTTGTCCATGCCCACCAATAACAAAGGCATAGTCATCTCTTGTTGGTGTTTTTCCTTCTTCCTCAGAGACTTTATATGCTCTTTTCTCCTCCTTTTTTTCTTTCTCCTTGTTGTGCTTCTCCCCTGCTTTTTTGCAGCAAGCTGAGAAGTGACCTATGATTCCGCATTTATTGCAGCTCTTGGACTTTGCTGGACAATTTGCGTCTCGAGCAAAGTGCCCAGTTTTATTACAGTTGTAACATCGTCGTACGTTATCCTTGTTGTCGTGCCCAGTCCCCTTGGCTGAGTATCTGCGCTCTTTCTGATCTGTGTTGACCTTTTTCTCTTTTCGTCCGCTCCAACGCGATTTATGACTCACAACGTTTACTGTATTCGAACCTTCCATTGATTTCAACTGCTCTTCTACCGCCTCATATGCCCGCGCAATATCTTGTAAATCCTTGAGTGTTGCATTAACGCGTTCAAGAAACTTCCGTCTAAGCTTTGAGTCGCCACATTTCTCAATTAGTTGGTCTCGAATTGCTTCTTCCACGTTCTGAAATTCGCACGTAGTAGCTTTTTGCCTAAGACACGAAACAAATGATCCACTTTCTCGCCGTTCATCTGACTCATTTGACGAAACTGGTGTCTCTCAAACGGTAGATTCACTTTAGGGACGAAATACTCATCCAAGACCTTGACGCAATCCTTAAACTCTTTCTCTTCGTCTTCGTTTACTAACGTAAAATATAGTTCTTGCAACTGCAACCCCCCCGTATGCAGAAGTAATGCCACTTTCTGTTTGTCATTTATTACTCCCTTTGCCGTTAAAAACACATTAAATGACCGCTTCCAGCGCTTCCATCTCACAGCCAAATTCGTTGGGTCTTCCCTGGGGTTAAAGCAAGGAAGCCCTTTGACGTCGCTTGTCAATAAACTTGCTTGAGCGCCTGCCGGATTGCCGTTTTGTCCTGCGCCATCTTCGTCCGCGACAGACATTTCAAATATTTTCGCTAAATACTACACTCCCGATTGGTAACCTTGCCAAATTCACGGCTATAATGTTAGACGAACTTCCATCCTCCTCGCCAATGTAATGTCCCCTTCACTGATATGTAATAACTCACACAAATCTTTAGCTTTTCTACAATCGCTTTAATACAAAATACACAAACGATACAAAACGAAAGAACACCTTCAAACGACAGCCTCGTGATAAGTTGTCACGTGACTTTAATCTAATACAAATAAATCTAATCAAGTATCCCGATTCTACACAACTGAATTTTATAAACAATGTAATAACAAAGCAGTAATATAAATGTTTGATACCTGCATATTACTAGTCATTGTTGGTATTAAAGCTTTTCTGTCAGCTTATCAGATTATTATCAGTATCTTTGCACAGGCTTCTGACTTTGTCATTCCTATTAGCACCCCTTCATCATTCACTGCTGTTTTGGGCAAAAAATCTTCGTTAAATCCGCAGTTTGAAGGCACAGCTGAGTTGAATAAAATTTAACAAGGCTTCCGCCGCTGCAGACTCATAATTTGTTTTCAGAATCCGTTGTTATGTTTGACGATTCATCGGGTTCATTTACCGTTTTATTTTTATGGTGGAACTAAACGTGAAGGTAAGGTTGACCATATTTGATTATATGTTAGCATTATCTAATACATCGTGCAAGAAATCAGCTTGCCAATTTAATTTTAACAACCATAGCTATGCTATATAGCATCCATATGGGTCACCATGAACTAATGTAAAAATTCTTGGAACAGGACTGATATTTACTGCTTGCAGTAAGTTACACTGTTGAGTATATTCCATAGCTTTATAATGTAAAATTTTACATTTATATGATGGAAAAAATATCATTGACTTTTGATTTTTTTGTGAAATTGCATCCTGTTAATTATTACTATTTTTAAACATATCTTTCAATAATTTTTAAGGCTGTTATACAGGAATAATAATAATAATAATAATATATGTATATATGTTATATTATTCATTTATATATTGGAATAAGACTAATATTAGAATTCTTTTTTAGGTCCAGTAGTGAAGGGCAGTTATGAGGGGACCATTAATAGAATGATTGGTGCAGTTACAACCGAAGCAAAATTGGTCTTAACGTATCCCCATGTCCCTGCACTTTTGGTCAAAGAACTGATTAAAACCCATCAGTCAGTAATCTATAGACATGTAATTATCTGGCATTTAGAAACCATGACTCTGAGTAGGTGGAACATATGAAGGAAAAGTATGTTTTACAAAACTAAATCGCGTATATTAGTATCAATATTCAATAAGCAATAATTAGATCACTGTTGCTTCCGTGAGTTCTAATTTTTAGTGGAACAACTATCAAGAATAAACAAGTAATTTTAAGACAATAAAAAAACAATGTTCTAATTGCTGTGCTGGTATATATTTCAATATTTGATAGATTTCCTTACTGCAATAAGATACTACCATATGATTTAAGCCTGCATTAATATGAGGATTTTCATTAAAAAAATAAAGCATTGCACATTGCAATTTAATTAACAGGTGCCAAGTACCCAAGTTTTTTTTTAAATATCTAAGATGATCCTCCCTTTGATTAATACCAAGGGAGATCTATATCTGTAACACACAGAAAAGTTCCAGAATGTTTTTGGATCGTAACATCCACAGCCAGCCACATTTGTACTACACTGGAAAATTTTCTGGGCCTGGTTGATAGAAGCACCTGAAAATTAATTGATCGTGCTCTTCCCTGAACTATAACTTGAGCCACAGAACAATGCATGCTCATAAATATACAGTTAACATAGCAAATTATAGGACTAGAGTTTATACGACCGTATAGGAGTATTGTTTATATGGACATCGACATGAATCTCTACCCTATCTCATTAGATTTCTAATTTTTTCGAACACACGATGTAACGAAATTATCCATATTACTCGACAAGACGATAAACGAAAGCTATTCGACATATTCGCTATTTGTAGCGTTAATTTCCTAACAAAGATCTGTAATGGGCCTTGAAGGAATCTCAAATCGTTACAATGAAATGCCATTATGTAAAAAAAAATACGAATACATTATGTAAAAAAAAATACGAATACGTATAAATGGTGAGATGGAGCAGTAGAATCAAAAATATTTTTAAAAAATCCGCTGTCAAACATCCAGATATTTTTCAATATTCCTTATTTACTTGAAAAGGATATATTTTTTCCTTTAAGTCAAACAATATCTTTTTTTCACCAGCCAATCGGAAAGCTTAAATGAGTCAGACTCCCGCAAAGATAAGGCCAGTTAATGAAGAACTAGTATTTTCCCTCCACCAACCAATCAGAAACGCTTAAACTGCCCAGATGAGTCAGACCCCCGCAAAGATGAGTCGATGAGGCAAAATTCAAGCGAGCTACCGCTTTTATGACTCATTTATGGGCTCAAAAGTCAGTGACCAGCAACTTCATGAAGCCTAATAACTTTTAACTGGACTGTTAATTTATGGTGTGACTATTTTCGCTGACTGAAGTTTAAATATTTCGACCTGGACTTCTCTAATTTTTGACTTAGTCGCGTGACTCATCTGACAACAACTAGATTCGCCACTGATTCACAGCCATAGTGAAGCAATTAAAGAAAACCCGCTGTATAGATGTATGTGGTGATGCGCAATACGATAGTCCTAGGCATTGAGCTAAATACGGCGCTTATATATACATGTACCTTCATGGATGAGAACACAAACTCTATAATGGAATTCAGCATTGTGCAAGTGATAGAGGTTACTTCGAGTAATCCAATGGAAAATGAAGTTTGTAGAAGAACGCTGATTTCAATTATCAAAAAAGTACCAATCCGGTGCCTTATAAAAAACCGCCATACAACAATAACAGCAAATATGCAAACAAACTATTCAAAAATTAAACACCATTAATTATGATGTGTGGCATTTACGTAAATGGGTCACCAAAAAGCTGACAAAGAGAGTAAAAAAGAGAGGGTGTGAAGAGTTGCTGCCATGGATATAGAGTGTCGAATCATTTGTGGTGGTGTGCTGCAACATGATAAGAATACCGATATCCTAAGGGAAAAGGGAATCACTGGTAAGCACAGTTGGAGGCCCTCCAAGGAAATTAAATTAATAAAGAAATGTGGAAACCCTAGGATCAGTACAAAAGACCAGAAAAGCATTATATATGGCTGAAAATGGTTCACCTGCTCATGTTGCCTTAGAGGAAGTAGTGACCAACAAAAAAATGCCTAAAGATTTTTGAGAAAGTTGACAGAGTTCCCCCACACTGGTGAGTTACGTGAGTATTTTAGTTATAATGGAATGGCAGCTGGAACTCAGTTAGCTGTCTTAGATCACAATGCGAATGTGGATAGGAGACAGGCAGAGGTCATGAAGGGGATGAACAAAGGTGAGAAGAGGTACAAGAATGCTTGTGGCAAACAGAGGAATAATTGAGTGGTCAAGAAAATCAAGGCCACCACAGTCTTACAGCCATGTTATGGGTATGATGAATGATGTTATTTTGTTCAACAAAGGCAAAAAAAATTAAGTATAAGCCAACTACCCAAGCTAAATGCCTAACATCAACTCCCAAGCCACCAAAACAAGATGTTATTGAACAGCACAAAACCAGATTAAACAAAAACCAGTGAAATGCTTGTTGTTTTGATGAACTAGTACTGGGAGTCTTCGTTTATGGTGATGGTATATAGTCAAACATCACAAATATTAACACTGTAACAATAAAGCTATTCATCAGGAAAATGAAAACCAACAAACACAAAGTCATCTTCATCACCTGGTGGTGGGTAGTGTGCTCGAATACAGCTAACAGTTAAATTTGGAAGAACAACTCGTATTTCTTTACTCACCAACACCATCGTATACTATCTGACGGTACGCGACATGCCCAAAGACTTTATGTTCGGGACCTTCATAGGCTCTACTTCCATACTCTTGTTTGCATTGTAACCAAGCAGCCTATAAAACCCATCGATTTAAACAGACTACGTACATGAAAACCTGAATTATCTGCTATGCAGTGATATGGCGTGGTTGGCTTTTTGTGTAGAAAAACCTCATCATTTTTATATACGACATGCTCAATCACATAGCAGTAAACGCATTCTTCCTCCGTATTCATTATCTGGCTATGTTTGCATAAACACCTAACAATGATTAATGATTATGCTGGAAGTGATACACTTACAGGGCAAGACGACTTAATTTGCCAAATATAAACTAAAAAAGTATGCTGTTTTACCAGTCAAGGTTATTCAAACGATCATCATTGTCAACTCGACACACGTTCATCTTCTATTTCAGCCGATGATTCATCACTAGTGCTGTTGGAATCTCGCCTTGGTTCGAATTGATAGCGCAGGACATCGCCCGTTTATAAAACATTCAAATGAAATTGGTCTAAACTCTCGCAAGAAGAACTTGAACTGCTTGAATACGATGAATCCTGGATTGAGGATCTTAAAACGTTGGCATTCATGACAAACTCTATACAAAACACTCGTAAAGCAAAGAAACAGCAAGCGTCAAAGCCAGTGATCGAAGTACGCAATGACGTCAAAAATGAGGGCGCTGACCGAATTCGCGCCCGCACTAGAAATAACAAAGTAGCGTTTAAATATGCAAAAATCGCGAACTTTGAGGAACGATTTCTGCTTTACTTTAAAGGATTAGACCGAAATACTTTAGGAAGGTACTATCTTTCAAATAAACCAAACTTGTTTTGGGAGCGGAGTTCTCCTTTAAACTAGGAAATCCCGTACACACCCAAAGTTTGGAGTCCTTTTACCTGAGCAGTATTATACATATGGATAGTTTCTTGAAATGTGTAATTTTTCCTTGCTTAAAAAATCAAATTTCTTTTTTATATATGAAATCATTAAAAAAATGACGGTTTCTCAGAAGAACCATCTTTTTTCGCTGATATTTTAAAGAATATTCGGTGTTTAGAAGCAAGAGATATATCAATTTGAAGTTTTGCAACAGCCGATTCTTCCTCTTTGATGAGTTGATGCCTTAAAATGCTTCATCGTGATTTAATACCTTTCGCTGACGAAAATAGGCTCGTATTCAGCGCATCATTGCTGACCGCTAGCTTGGGCGTCACGGTTAAGATATCTGGCCATGGCCAAATATCAACACAGCGCATTAAAGTAAGACGTCTGAGACAGGTTTTACATAAATTTAAGCCCCATTTACAATGCGCACAATTTTGGTACCGTACCGAAAAAATGTATACGGATGAAATTTTAAACCACCAAATAGTCAAATTTCACCCATATGGTCAATTTCAGTTTTGGTGCGGATAAAATTGTCTAGTGAGGAATGGTTCAAATTTCATGGGTACCAAACCAAAAATCATGAAGTTTTAGAAGTGAGTACGAGTACGACTGCAACGCGTACAACCTCTACATACGCCTGGTTAGCTAAATGTTATCTGTCAACATCAACATCAACATCCACATCAACGAGCAAGCACGCATACTTTTTCGAGTGTGACCGCGAAATGCTTGGTATACATTCCAATACGACATGAGCACGGTGTTCACGCAAGTACGCTAATCCGGTGGTAATTGTGTGACCACGACCGGGCCCTGACCCCTCGTATTTCGCACTCATATACTGACATGTCTGACTTTAACATGCTTCATTTTAGCTAATTATTAACCAGCTATAGGCTACTTCAAAGTTGAAAGCAGCATGATTTTCCATTTAGTTGACATGGGAGTAGAACTTTGGACCACGCTTGTTGTCGTTGTTACAATTCTATTCCTAAAAGGCGTACAGATGTGCGTAAGAGATCCAGGTGCGTGCTAGTTTTAAAAATCTACAAAATATTTGATAATTTTTTCTCTTACATGGAAAAATGTAAAGCAAAATTTCACTTCAAGCATTTGATATGAATTCACCTCGGCTGCTGTTCTCGAAGCGGAGTTAATATGTATGCTAAAATTGTACCAATTAAATTATTTCAAGAAGAATGCTGTTTTGTGTCACATTTCATAAATCTGGTTAGGATTTTTTTCAGTACTGGCGTCGGCCTATTACAAAAATCATCATTTTTTCTTTATTGGTCGATAGGATCGTAAAACCCAGAGTGCCTTATCACTTTGACAATCAAGAATCAAATCCTGTTTAGAAATATTTCCACACATATTTCCTTCATCATGGTCAGTAGAGTAGCCACCCTAAGGATATATTTGGCGCTAATATTTTGGTATTTGCATTGACTGTGAAAATAATAAATTTCTAAACAGGGCCGTAGCTAGAAGCTTAATTGGGGAGGGGTATATTAATAATTTATCTTATTCCCGACTGATTTCTTTTGTACGCTATTGTTTCTGCGGTAGAATTGACGTGTTATGCTGTTATATTCACCTTCGAATTCAGGAACCAGTTGTAGGCCGTATTCTGTGGCCGATTATCGTTCAGTTTCGTTGCCCCCCTTCGGGCACTACTTGAAAACACGATAGAAAATTAGGATAAATTATAGAAAGTCTAAATTCACTTGTTTTCACCTCCACAAACCTGCAGTTTTCGAGCATTTCATCTTCGAAAAATCGGTAAATTTACATGTTTCGCAATACATCGACGCCATTTTGATTCAGGAAATGTCTAGGATACTTGGTGTAATATACCACATATATAGCAGATTCAGCAGTTTTATACCGGTATTTAAATGAAGTTTCCGGCATTTTTGCTATGCAAGCAGCTTCAACAAGGAAGCTTTGAGTGGCGTTTCACGAGGTTTTTCGCAAATTTTCTTAGTTTTTTAAAACTAAATTAGTCAGGGAAGACTTAGACAACAATTAAACGGAGAAGCATTCGACAATTTGCGATTTTTTATAGCATTCTGCTCTTGGAATTTACAAATAAATTAGAACAACTTTATTTACACGCATCAAAATCATCCACGAGCGTTTTGTTTCTAGTCAAGTTATATAAAATAGTTACTACACAATACTTTTTCAGCATAACCTTTGTTTTATATTAACTACAAGTATAATACACACGTTTTCTCAACAAAACTATTTACAAAATCTCAGTTTCTTGAAAAAGTTAATTACCAAACGCCTTTATCTTATCATCAATCCACTAAAAAGATAATTAGAGTACATCTATTTAATACGTGATTTGCAACGTACAACTACTGTACATGTTAAAATATTAAACACGCATACCAAAGTTGATATCAGCCTGATGTTTTAATACCATGTTGCTGAGCCGGACACGAAAACCAGGAAAAACCCCTCGGGAAAAATCTGGAACGTGTTCTCCCTCCCATGCTGCAGCAACGCTTTTGGAGGTTAAAAGCTAGCACTTCTCTTTCTTCTTGTAATTGAATTTTGGTAACTCTTCCATTGTGATGATCTTTCTTTCTTTGACCTGAAAAGAAGACACAAACTTGGCAGACAACAAGGCCTGGAATTTTACAAATAAGGAAAGAACGCATTATCCTACAGCCTTACTAACCCTATACACTGATGCTACTCCTCTCCTTTATAATAAACTAACTTGCTAGTTAAAACTATGTAATACAGAAACAACATAACGCATTATTAAATCAATGTCAACCAAATATCAATATATGTACATTTAACAATAAAATCTTCGATATTTCTTGCGAGATTACGTGACCCTTGCCTGCTATCCCATGCCCTAAATTGTGGGAGAACTACGAGCACCTTAAAAGTTTAGGACACAAATAAAATGTTCAACTTAACTCTTTCAATTGGACAGCTAATACCACAACTCATCATCTTCGCCATCTCCGAAATCCAGATCCAGTTCATCATCGTCATCAGATTGAGCCAGGCCATAACTGCTATCATCGTCATTACCATCTTCAACAACTGCATTCTGGCAATCACCACACGAACATAGGTCGGTGCACTTTAAGTCAGCCTTTTTGCAGGAACAACGCATGGTCGAGCACCCAGTCTTGCATTTACACTCAACACACTCAATTAAAGATCGCGGAGCGGGTGGGCGTGTCATTTAGGTTATCTCCAGCTCTTTATCGTCAAGCGTCCAGCCATTGCCAGCAGGTGATGGAAGATCGACTTCTGCCCTTAAACACTGATACCATGATGCTGCTTGAAAATTTGCTCTATATATATGTTGGACAAGGCTATCTCAAGTTCGAGGCAAGACGTCATCGGAACATTTTCCTGTCTTAAAAAAGGCATATCTAGAGTCATCCACACTTGTTGAGGCTTTGTCTCCATACAATAAACAAGTAAATTTGTTCAGCTCATTGACAAGATCTTCTGAAGGAGGGAAGTTTCTTCCAAGCATTGAAAAGCACTCAACAAACTCAGGAAATTCAGCCAATGTTTTCCACGCAGTTTTTTTCCCCTTTCCGTGAAAAGAGCTCGTACTGTCACAACCTAAGCGTTAAGCGAAAAAATATATTTTCTAATATATATATTTATATATGAATATTTGAATATCTGTCTAATGCCATTACCGGTAAAAGCATGAAAGCCTGGTAAACAAAGAGCAACATCCACGCCCAAGAATTTTGAGATAATTGCTACAGATACGCAACGACGTCTATCTCCCGTGCCAGTCAAAAAGAAAATCTCTTTCTGTATCTGTTGTTGCATGGCAATCGCAAGTATAAGAACATCTGTATCAGGGCTGTTGATAATAACTTTATCGTACGTTGCTGCTGCGTGGTTAGCATGTAGAATTAAACGAGTGTCTGCTTCTTCGTGGTTGCTATGAAGCGAAGCCACCTCATTACTGGTAACACGATCGTTCGGGGAATCACCGGGATATAAAACATAGCATCTTTCTTCAGCAGTTACGTACATAGTTGAAATGGAACACCACCGAGAGGAGTTACATGACCTCCAGTGTTCACATAAGAAAGATATGAGGGATTCCTTGTTTTCACCGCAACTTAAAAACTTTTTCCACTGTTTTGGAACACTCTGATCTTTTCCAAAGATGTGAACTTTCTGGACTCCTTTTTCAGCTCTTCGTTGTCTCTCAGCATTCTTTATACTCAACAGAGGATACCTGTCTGCAACGAAATCTAATCGTTTGGAATTATACTTTCGTGCTAGCGTTATGAGGTTGTTTAAAAGAGCATCTGCAAATTCGCCAAATGTTTTCCATTTTCCTTTCATTGCCTGAATAACTGCCATAGCATCTACAATCAGTGCATTGTTGTTAAATGCACAAACATTGACTTCTGGATTTCCAGATTCATTTTCCAATACTTCAGCAAGTTTAGACTTGGCAGTTTTCACAAGTCCTCCAGTTGCCGTAGACAACGAAAGAGGGTATGTACCAAGGCTGTACGAGAGCAATTCATTGAGATCGACATGCCGACTCTTAGCAATGACCAATAATCGAGCAAACAAGTTTCTGTTTAACATGATGTTCACCTTCTTTCCTTCTTTGTTGTTCAAATATACGGATTTTGTTGAGGAAAATGTCTGAAGTTTGTTCTTTTTCAACTTCGTAAAGATGTCAGGGTCTTCGCTCAACAAATTCGTTTTCGTAAATTCCAAAAACTGTTGCTCTTCAATGTTCTCTGCGTTCAGAAGAGTATCCCCAACATCATTTCCAACCATTACACCACTTGCCAAACTTATTAGCTCCTCTTGCTCTGTTTCAAATGGGTTTATCATACTTGAAATTGTACTCATCACATCAATGACAGATTTCTCATAGCGCTTGCACTTTGTATGATCAAGATCTTTGCGATTTCTGAATATAAAATTTAAAAAAGTTGAATGCATATAATACCTAATGATGAACAGCAGAATGCACAACGGCCCAATTCATAAAATTACCTTGGTATACAACTATTTCCAGCCATATCTTTGCACTTGTTTGTTATTGAAGCTCTTTCTGATTGCGATAGTAGCCATCTATGAACAGTTGAACGATTCATTGAAAACCCAATCAAACCACCTTTCGTTTTAGAATCCCTGTTTGCAGTCTGCTCTATTGTCTGGTCACATGCAACTGCAGAGAAACCATGTCTGCTTTGACGCTGAACAGCAAAGTTCTTAGAGATTTCTTCACGAATTCCTACACAGTGAAAAATATATAGGAGATTTCTTTGGTTACAGTATAATATAATACAAATAATATTCTTTACTGGTGAGCTCTTTGCACGTGGTATGTTGTAAGTAGAATAATCTTCCTCTCTGTTCGAACAATCCTGCTTCAACATGAATAAAACTATATACTCTACCTGGGTGCGTACTTTCCAATGCGGTCATTTCTAGCATATATGCCGAGCCATATCTGGAATAATTGACTCTATCACAAAATGAAAAACCATGGAAGCATAGCTCTGAAAGCTGCTAAGTGGAGATCCCAGTTTACTTCTCTTGTTGCTCTAATAAACATCAGTAGTACACCTGTATGTGTAAAAAAATACTCTATTTTATTACGAAGAACGAACTGCAACAATATTAATGGAACATTGTATAATACAATTACCTGCCATCTTGATATACATGCTCCAAAATGAAAATGTTCTAGATTTACTACACATATCGTTAATGAACAACTCATATGATTGTAATATTTGCAGCATCTTTGGATTTTCAATGCCATCAGTAAGGAACTTGTCGTGTGGAAATGAATTTGCCATACTCTCAATGAATGAAGAAATATCGTCCTGGTCTTTTTCCGTCATGGAATCCAGAAAAGCTTGAAACCTTAGACGTTGAAGTGCTTCATACATAATCTTGTGACATGACACAGCCCGGTTGTAATGCTTGCCAGAGAGAATACCTTTGATTGATCCTTCACTCACAATACCAGATTCAATAAACGCATCCTGCAAGTAGAACAAGAATAAAACTTAAGACTATACTGTATATAGAAATAGAATGAAAAGTGAAACTTTTACAGTTTTCTATTTTTGCCTCTTCTAAGTTCTCATCATTTTAAATGCACCTAATATATTTAATATGATCATTTGGCCTTGTACAGCACCTAACACAAGAATCTATTATCATCAATTAATGGCAATTGAGAAATTATGCTATTCATTTATTCAAAGTGAGGTTGGGATTGGTATTTTGCTCCTCAAGAACAAATACACTGGACATGAGGTTGCTGCATGATACACAACTAATGTAAAAAAATGAGTCCTTACCTTTAAGCCTCCATCTTCAAAGATCTTTGACATGGCAGAAAGGTAACACATGATGGTGTGAAACTCACCAAGGCGAACAACAAACCGATTTAAGAATGTCTCTTCTTTCCAGCGAGCATGTTGTACTTTAGCATAAACAGCTTCATCAAAAACTAACACAGCATATCTCAGCTCTAATTTATCTGCAATCTCAGTACTCCGTGTGAGGATTGTGTTGATGGTTGAATATTCTGTTGGGGATGCATCAATGACTGGTAAATATCCAACTCTGGATACATCAGGTATTTCATTACTACAAAGCATGGTGTTAAATCCAGTCCATCCTGGCAATACTTCCTCATCTGAAGAACATATATACTTTACTAAAATATATGCTAAGTCCAGTTTATAAGCATTAATCGCGGGATCTTCTTTGAACAAAAGTTCTAGACATTCAGGATCCAGTTCAACAGTTTGAAATTCTGGTGTCATCTTTACTCCTATACTGTAAGGCACAATGTCAGTTGAAGGCATTTTTACTGTACGTTGTGTCTTTTTAATAGCAGTTGATGGGTGTTCTGATGAATTCAATGGTGTTTGAACTGAGACTCTTTGTGTAATGATACCATTGGTTACATGAGTCTGCTTTTCAATCTCCTCTCCAAAATCTATGTTGTCGTAAACCAAGTTGACATACTCGGTTGCAACAAATTCCCTTGGAAGAATGTTTGATGTGTTAATCGTTGTTTGAGCAATTGCAGAGTCATAGGCCATGGTTGATGATAGTGATACACAATGTCCAAAACCATTTAAAATATTAATAAGGCCAGAACAGCCAGATATTTGCCGAACAGCTATTGCCAATGCTAGGGATTTTGGTGTCTGTACTTTCCCTTTATTAGCAACATACACCAAGTCTTGACATAGAGAAAAAACCTTTGCTGTTGTTTTCTCTTCTAATTCAATGTAATCAGTATCCTCTGGGTCATCTGAAAACCCTAGCAGCCATGTCATAAAATTAAACAAGCAAGGTGTTACCACTTTTCGAACATTTTCAGCAGTAATATCCGATGCAAGTGGTGGCCAGTTTTCATACCAAGTGGATGCTTGGTCTTGCAACTCACTCTTTAATGTCATGCCTACTGTATACAATTCTTTCAGTGTTGCTCTCTTATCATGCATGTTTGCATATCCTTCACCATCAATTTCAAAAGAATCTGACTCTTGTGAGCTCTGAGATGTTTCTTCATTATTGCCCATGAAACTTTCTGCTACACTTGCTTGACTAAGACATTCTGCATAAACAATCTCACTCTTAGATCGAACCTTTGGTCTATGAAATACAAGTTGTGGAAACCTTTTACGCAAGCGCTTCTTCAGTCGGAAGGATCTATAACTCGAGGCATCCTCTTTCTCAACACGTCGCACAGTCTTGATGAACTCTTTCGTCAGTTTCTTCATGTAGAATATATTATCCTGTCTAATAATTCTTGCATTCACAAACTCCATACAGAAAACATCAAAGGACTTCTCATATTTGCATTCATGTTTTTCTGTTTCTTTCTCATTTGACTGTCTAGTGTGCCTCAGAAATGATGTATACTTTTCATAGCAACGTTTATGGTATTTCACTTCCAAAGCTACCATGTCCTTATTAGCAATTTGTATTAAAACACTTTCATCATTTTTCCTTGTTGCAGCTTCCTTGAGTTTCCCCCCATCAACCGTTTCTGCTGATACCAATTTGTCCAACTTCCTTTTTTTCGATTTCTAAATATAGACATGTAACGAGCTATTCTTAGAAATTATATAATCGTCGAAACATGAACGCATGACAATTTATGATCTACAACAAATCTTATTAAAAAGATAAATACAAAACTTTAGAGAGTAAGAAAAACCCCTTTTAAACAGACTTACCGATTCAGTGAAGTAAGACTTTTCTCTCTTGCAAATAATACAAATGTGCGGCAACACGTGCGGATTCCTCGATCTTACTGCCGAACTCGTTGAGGCGGAACCCAGATTAGACCGCAGCATCTTTTTCGCAGGTTGAACTTCTTCTGGTTCTGTTTCGTCAATTTCACCAACAGAAGATGAGAGTTCAACTGCTTTACGTTCTTTTTTTTCATCCTGACACCGCACTTGAGCTCGTTTGATGTGAACATTATTTGTCAATGCCGAATAACAAGCTCTGTGATACGAGAAATTTGCATATTCGATACCGTCAGTTTTAACATTTTTCACGTTTTCGCTGACAAGATCCAAACTTCTCCGTGCAACATCACGATGTTCTCCATCTAGCGTTAGCCAAATACTACGACAATCCAAAAATTTTTGAAAAGACACATCACTAAAAGTCGTTAGTGGGCCTTTTTTTCCGTCAAAATGAATTAAACATGAGTCGGAAGACGCCATGTTTACAAATAAAACTGCTGAATCTGCTATATATTTCGTATATTACACCAAGTATCCAAAACATTTCTTGAATCAAAATGGCGTCGATGTATTGCGAGACATGCAAATTCACTGATTTTTCGAAGATGAAATGCTCGAAAACTGCAGGTTTGTGGAGGTGAAAACAAGTGAATTTGGACTTTCTATAATTTATCCTAATTTTCTATCGTGTTTTCAAGTAGTGCCCGAAGGGGGGCAACGAAAATCGTTTTCTAAGCGACTTTTCGTGCCACAGAATACGGCCTATTGTTCAAAAGACGTTTTAACTTTACCCAGGGTTAACGCAAAGTTGAATATCTTTTCCATTGGTATTTTCTGGTTGAATAGAAGTGATATTTTAGAAGTGATATTTTATAACGTTTTAAAACGAGCAGTGGTTCATAAGCACCTAAACTAAAACAGTGGATTAAAATTTACCCAGGGTTAGCGATAACCTAGCCTTGAACCACCGGCCCCAGGTGAAAATAACAAAACCGAAATTGCGAAAAGGCGGCTAGCCGTTTTGTGGATGTTTCTTACAAAGAGATAAGCGAACAAATACTGTTCTTGTGTCAATCCACTTGTGCAAAAAATACTATAATAATTATTCGCCTTAGGCTCGGTGATTATGGGGGAATATTCCCCGACAATAACCTTGTATTAGGCGAAATATGGAATATAGAAATAAGAAATATAATTACGGTCATGATAACCTGAATAATCGTGAATGGTATCATTTATAAAATTTTCTTCCCAAAATGTTTGAGTTATTTGCTTTAATTCACTTCGATTGACCCCAGACCATAATTTTTAAAACTTTACCACAACATCGCTTAATGCGTATGTGTGAGAGCCAAATCGTATATCGCCATTTTCCTCTCATTCATAACACCTGTACGTTTGTTTTCTAGCCTGCGGTTTTCTGCTGCAGTTTCCAATCCCTACGATTACAGGATGTACGACTTATTCGCCCCCTGATCCTATATCGCTGGAATGCAAGACATCTTCAGATGTGAAATACATTCGTTGGGACAGATTCAACCGTGCTCGTGAAAGAAAAATGCTGAATAGTACACATTTTAATCGCTCTGCCTCTGGTCTCGGCCGGCTAGCTACATTGAACGATTTCCCTTCGCCTTCAGTAGAAAATTTTCCATATTCTTATCGATGTGTTGCAATCACAAAATGCTGCCTGAAAGACTATTCAGATTTTGTTACTGTGGATTTATTGCAACTTACTACAGCAACTGCAACGAAGAATAGTAAGTTAAAAATAGGTTATAATGGAGAAGGAGCACGATTTTTATTCACGCAGTATTTCTCCGAGATTATTTTATAATTAGTTTAGAGGTTATGGTTAGAAATAAGATTTCAAAAACAAAAAAATATTTCTTAACGTCCATCAGCGTTTCCTTTGCATGTCTCTTGGCAACATTGTACCGTTTGGCCTTGATATACATGCAGAAATGCTTCTTTGACCTGGGTTATACGTCTCATTTTGGTATCGTCGAATGCAATTCAAGCAATGGATAGTTAAGCTTCATTACCATTTCACTATCGACAGTTCGACTTGCATTCGACGCGACCAAAATGCGACGTTTAACATGAGCCCTTATTTATAGTTAGCTAGGGAGGTACACTTTCAACCATCGGGATCAAAAGTGATGTCGTAATCTTTGTAGATATCGATACCATTGCGAAAGGGATACTTTAAGATTCAGTGATGAGTGTTCCGGGATTTCACCGGGGTTACGATTGAGCACCAACAAAGCCGGAGTTAGCACAACTCCGTCATTGATGTCGTCTCCTATGTATGTCAATGGGCAGGAATTTATAATAGCTTTAATGACAGTCAAGATTGTCATAATATCCAACTCGTAACTCGTAGTAAACGCAGTAGACTACTTGTACTGGCATTCAGAACATATCTTAGCAGTAATCTAACCGTGGAAGCGTAATGCTCCAGGTAGTTTGCTTTCTAGAATAGGTAGCATAACCATGGACAAACTATCGTTGTCTTTTATCTTTAGTCGTTACATTCCAGACCTTTAATCCCAGGATCAATTTAACCAATTCACTAACAAGAAGTCTTTTCTGAATGTTCGATAAGGCAGAAATCAGAAAATTTGGACATCCCACACCCAATATATAATCATATTTATTATAATATTTACTGTTGCCAGAGACGTGCCGTGCGGGAAGCGTATTCGAAATATAAATATTAAAGCCCAACATAGTGTTTCAGTAAAGCCATAAAAGACAATTTAAACCATTTTAGAATAATAAAAATATATTTGATTGTAACTTTTCGTCTTAACTTAAAACATCCTCAGACTAAATGGTAAATTACATGATAATTTGAATATGTAGACTAGTAATATATTTACAAGGTATCAATTTACCAAGGGTGATAACAAGGACAAAGTAAGGACAAACAGTACATGAGAGGACAAGGAACAGAGACGTCACGACACGATGACAATACGAAGTAAGGACGATATCTAACCCTAGAAAATAAATTAACAGAACGCTTTCATCAATATACATACGGTAGACAAGTCGTTATAGAGTCTGACCATCAACCCTTGGAAACTATCTTCAAGAAACCCCTATCGTCGGCACCAAGACGTCTTCAGAAGATGCTAATGCGCCTCCAACATTATGATCTCCAGGTTCACTACAAGAGAGGAAAAGAAATGTACCTGGCGGACACGTTAAGCAGGCATTATTGAGGCGAAACACGAGACAACGACCAAGGACGAGGTGCCCAATCACATTCGCTGAAGAATTAGAACAAGTCGAGCAGATCGAAGAAATTAACGGACTTGTGGCATCAACCAGCACCATAACAAAATTCAGAGAGGCAACCGCGAAAGATGAAACCCTTCAGGCAGTAAAAGCAACTGTACAGCAGGGATGGCCAAACAGCAAAAGAAACCTCCCCGAGGGGGTAAGTCCATATTTTGACTACCGTGACGAACTTGTATGGCAAGATGGACTTCTTCTGAGAGGAGATCAGGTGGTAGTTCCAGCGTCCCTGAGAAAAGAAATCATGCAGGAGCTTCACATGGCCCACCAAGGGGCAGGGTCTACTTTAAGACGTGCCTGCGAAAGTCTCTACTGGCCCAACATGAGCAGCAACATTAAGGAACAAATCTCCAAATGTGACCTGTGTGCATCTTTCAAGCCACAGCAACAAAGGGAGCCGTTGATCAGTCACCAGGTCCCAGACCGTCCGTGGGCAAAGATTGCAATAGATTTATTCCAGTACCAGAATAAAGATTACCTAGTTACGGTAGACTATTATTCAAATTTCTTCGAGATAGATCGTGTATACAGCTCAACCTCGTCCACTATTATCAAGAAAGTAAAGAGCCACATTGCCCGGTATGGCATACCCGAGGAGCTGGTTTCAGACAACGGCCCGCAGTTTATCTCGCAAGAATTCCAGTCGTTCGCTAAGGACTATGGTTTTCGTCATACCCAAACGAGCCCGCACCATCATCGGTCCAATGGTAAAGTGGAAGCTGCCGTCAAGCAAGCAAAGAAAGCTGTGCGAGTAGCCCAGACGAGCAACGGTGATTTCTACCTGGCGCTTCTCAGCATTCGCAACACCCCGCAGGAAGGAATGGCATCAAGTCCTGCTCAAAGATTGATGAGTAGGCGAACGAAAACGACCCTGCCGTCAATGACAAACTTGCTGGAACCCAGAGTGATCACAGGCGTTCAAAACCGAATTCAAACACAACAGAAACGGCAGCAAAGGTACTACAATAAAGGAACGCGGATGTTAGAGCCACTGCGAGAAGGCGACACAGTCAAAATGCAGCCTGTTCAACTTGGTCAGAAGAAATGGGCCACCGGAAAAGTCGTAAAAAACGTTGGTATTCGTTCCTACAAAGTAGTTGCAGACGGCACTACTTACATCCGAAACCGCAAATATTTGAGGAAAGTCGGAGTTGAAGATTCTGCACAGGATGAACCGTTGACTGCACCAAACGAAGAGCATGAGCAAGCCGCCGTTGAACCAGAGCAACATCACGAGGAAACAGTCGAGACACAAACTCCGACGATTGACCAAATTCCAGACGCCGCAACGGATGTGACATCACAGGCACTCACAACCAGAAGAAGCCGAAGAGTCATCACAAGACCCAAGAGATTGAATGACTATGTTATTTATTAACGAGAAAAAAAAAACATAGGCACAACGATTATATTAATGACAGTATTGTGTTTTTTTTTAGTTTGCTTTTATTTATTTTATCCACTTTTTCTGTTTAAAGAAGGGAAGATATAACGATATGATATTTTGACATTGATCAAGGTCGCGTGACTTATTTTAATAAGTCACGCGACCAACAGTCATCATCATCATGACGATGACTAGTCATCATCTAATTAAAATTAGACTTTCATATGCATGGGGCATTGTTCGCCCACTATATATAATTTAGGTAGATCGGGCGGTTGTCATATATTTTTCTCTGCTCGCTGTAATGTAAGGACTATGTAAAAAAAAACAAGTATAAAATATATCTAAAGTTTATAAAACTTGGCTACTTCAGTAAACGAAACAATCAACGTTTAATAACAATCGTCGTCCCAAGCATACATGTCGATATTGTGGTGGAACGCACGGAGAAGGCAGAGAATCGTGTCCAGCATATGGTCAAGTATGTAAAGCGTGTGGGAAAAGAAACCATTTTGCAAGAGCCTGTTTGAGAAAGGGTAACCAACCCATAGCAATGCAAATGAATGCTGAAATGGAAAATTCCGATGACTCGGGTGACTCTGTTATGACTTTAGATCTCGATCCCCGAACAGAACGAGTCCATGGATTGGAAAACCAGTCTATTTTTGCGAAGATCTATGCGCCTATGAAGATAAAAACAGGTAATACAACGAGGTTCCAAATCGATACCGGAGCCACCTGTAATGTCATTCGTCTGGGTGAACTATCGGGCACAAAATACTGGAACAAAGTGCTAAAAACAAATCAAATCTTAAAGATGTACAACTCGTCGCCATTGAAACCGCTGGTAAAATGTCGAATTAAGCTGACCAACCCTACCACCCAAATTAAGTACAAAGTCCTTTTCACGGTGGTTAAGGATATAGATGCCAAAGTCAACTTACTCGGCTGCACAGCGGCGCAACAAATGGGTCTCATCGAGGTAAACCACGACAACTTGGCACCCACAACGTCCGATGACTGTGTGCTACAAGTCGATGATCCTGAAATGATTGGTGTTACTAAACAGCAAATCTTGCAGAAGTATAGCGACATTTTTAAAGGATTGGGAGAACTTGGCGAACCTTTACATCTAGAAGTTGATAAGTCAATTAAACCAGTACAACTCCCGTCGAGACGCGTACCCGAAGCCCTTAAAACCCCGCTGCGAGACCACCTGAAAGAGCTGGAAGAGCAACGTGTGATTGAGAAAGTGACGACCCCGACTGACTGGGTAAGTGGCACGGTAGTAGCACAAAAGAGTAACGGCAATATACGACTGTGTTTAGACCCCCGGTCATTGAACACAGCATTAAAAAGAAGTCACTATCCAATACCAACAATTGAAGATGTACTTCCTGACCTCGCCAATGCTAAAGTGTTCACCAAAGTTGATTGCAAAAATGGCTATTGGCAAGTCAAATTAGACGACGAATCATCTCTCCTTACCACTTTTAACACGCCGTTTGGGCGGTACAAATGGAACCGAATGCCGTTTGGCATTTCTCCAGCTGGTGAGATCTTCCAACGTCGTCTCGATCAAGAAATAGAAGGACTGGATGGCACCCGCACCGTAGCAGACGACATACTAATCATAGGCAATGGAGTCACCATGGACGAAGCCATTGCAGACCACGACGTCAAGCTCGAAGTTTTGTTCAGTCGTTGCCGAGAAAGGAAAATAAAGCTCAACAAGGAAAAGATCGAGTTTAAGAAGACGGAGATGCCCTACATAGCTCATTTGTTAACATCCAACGGTGTGAAAGCTGATCCGGCCAAAGTTGAAGCGATCTGCAATATGCCACAACCGACCGACGTACCGGGAGTCAGACGAATCATGGGCATGGTCAACTATTTAGCAAAATTTCTCCCAAAGCTCTCTGATGTGACCGAACCATTACGGAAATAAATTGAGAGGGATAGAGTTGCCTTGTTTTACCTGAGATCTGGTGTAGTTTATTTATTTAAGGGTCGATGCTGTTCCGCGTCGTATTTGGGTCAAACCACGCGTCATCTACATACCAGAATATCAGAGCACTTGGGAATATCATTTATAAATAAACAGACCTCAAGCCCTGTCATGTCCAGTATACATTCTCACTTAAAGGCTTCCGGCCACTTGGCTAGCTTTGGCGAATTTAGAATCCTCTCCTCCTCATCTGACTTTTATGAGCTAATGATACACGAGAGCCTCCTCATCACCAAACTTAAGCCTTCTCTTAATGTTCAAGGCAACTCTATCCCTCTCAATTGATAGTCCTTACTTCGTATTGCCATCGTGTCGTGACGTCTCTGTCCCTTGTCCTCTCATGTACTGCTTGTCCTTACGTTGTCCTTGTTATCACGCTATATAATTTACAGTAGCTGTGAATGAAATTGAAGTTGAATTTCTTCACCCCGATACAGTCCTACTGGTAAGATGCCGCGGCCGTTCTGAAAGTGGTTTAGAAACAAAATTTAATATCAGTATTTATTGAACAACTATGCTAGAATATTTCGATGTAAATAGTTGAATTTTCAAAGGAAGAACATAATCTAATGCATAAGATATAGTTCCAGTCATTCACAAGATGTATAAGAGTGTTTCTAAACTTTGGCTTAACTACCGTTAAGCTAAACGCCTTTCGAACATCCAGCCCCAGGGTCATACATCAAGAAATTTTTGGGGAGAGTTATTCCTAAGCCCTGTGATAGTAGTTTTTTCTTTTTAGACAGTAATGTAAAATTTTAGTAGAAATACGAATGTAGTACGAATACGAATGTTTTTAGTAGAAATACCAAAGAGTTGTCAAAGCCGCAAGAATTTATCTTCTTGATGTCTCTGTATAAAAACGTCTTCTTTGCTTGTTGGCGTTGATATATTATTAATTTTGGTTTTATTCATTTTTTCCCTTACTATTCTACTTCTCTCACAGAATTGTTTACGTTTTTTAGATACCAAGCCAACTATAAGAATCAATGGAATAGACACAACATTATTTGAAAAAAAGTATATTGGTTACGGCACAGTGCGTGTACATTGCAAAGGCCTGGGTGATAACTTCACTAGGGTTTATTGGATAGTAACCGCTGATTCCAAAGGCAAAAACGAGACTGTAAATTCAACCAGTTATACTTTTTATCAGGCAGGAGCATGGATGGCCTGCTTGTTTTACAGGCCGAAAAACACAACGGAGACATACATTTACCATTGCATCGTGGAAAACAAATGCTGTGAAAGGCAAATTAAAAGCCTCAAAATTCCCTATTACCGACCCATAGGTAATTGCCACATTTACTTATGATAACTAAGAATGATCAGAATCCCACTGTAGAATCTTACATAATGGATTTAAATCCGACTCAAACCTACTCCAAACATGTATTTTAAAATTAACCAGGATGCATGGCCACCAGCCATCTACTTTTACTCACAAGTAATTCAAACACATATTTTCTTTCTTGCATGAGTGTTAAACCTCTTTCTTCGAGCCTTAGCAACACCTTCTCCACTTGCTCGTCATTATCAGGTTGATCTGACCCAGAAATAATTATGTCATCTGATATTTGGCTGTCCCACTGCATTCTTGCAGCACTTGTTGAATCACCTGCTGATATTTCTCCGGTGCAGAACTAATGCCAAACATCAACCTAATTGTACCTGAACATTCTGGATTCTTCACTTAATTCTATCTGGTGATACCCCCCCCCCCCTTGAGATGTAGCTTATGGAAACACCACACTCATATCTTTCATATCTTGGAGCATTTCGTCAAGAGTTGGAATTGGGTGTACCTCTCTAATTTAAGAGCTCCAAGCTCAGTTTCGGTCTTTCTGATCAATAATTTCTGCTCTCCCCGACTTTCAATAAATGTGAACTCTGTTTTTACATGTCTATCGCCTAAATTTACATCTGCTGTGGATGTTCCTATCATTGTAAGAGGAGTTGTATACAAATTCTTTGCAGTCGTCCTTGACGTAAATTTAATGTGCTTCTTTTTTAACTTTTTCCAAAAATGTTTGTCAATGCCAGTTGTACTCGCTTAGGAATCAATAACCATCTCTACTGGAACACCTTCGACAGACACTCACACTTTCCCTGTCTCCGGTTGTCGTTTGACAGTGAAAGCATACTGATCTTTGTTCTTCGTTTTGCACACAACTGCAAAATGAGCTTTCTGGTGACACTTGGAACATTTCTTCCCTTTTGCTGGGCATTTAGGGTCTCTGGCAAAAATGTCGCGGTTTTTCCACACCCAATGAATTCAACATTCTTCTTAACTCCTCCCCCTTTCCAACCAATACTTCATACCTATTCATTTGACCAGACTTTTCGGAGACTCGATCTACACTCTATCATTTTGAAAATTCACACTCTTTCCCTGCCTTTTCAAGGCTGCAGAGGTTGTTGCTATTTCTTGTAGTTGACTAAGGCTATGTGTCTGACCTTTTTCCAAAAACTTTCTGCGTAAATCGCTTTATCTGTGACTTGAGACTCTAGTTGATCTCCATAATCACACTGCTGAGCTTTCCGTCGCAAACGAAGAGCAAATTGATCAATGGTTTCTTTCTCATACTGTGCTATTTCTCTGAACATGTGGCGCTTTTACGGAATATTTACTTGTGTGACAAAATGTCTAGTCAGACCTTTTTTTGCTTTCTCGTATTCCTTTGCGCTCCCGGTGCAGGCAAAAAATAGAAAATATCTTTGACTTCCAACCCAGCACAATTGAGTGCTCTGTACCTTGTTGTCAGGGCCGTAGCTAAAAGCTTAACGGGGGGTTAGTATATTTATATATTCGTCTTATGCCCGACTGATTTCTTTTGTACGCTATGATACTTTCGTCGCCAATTGTAGAATTTACATAATGGATTAAACTCAGATTAAAACCTGCTCCAAACGTGTATTTAGAAATTAACCAAGATGGCCACCAGCCATCTCCTTTTATTTACATCGTGTTTATACATATGCTTACACTTTTTCTTTCCTTTATATTACATTACACTCTAAATATTCTACACCCCCCACTCTCCCTTGTTTTCTCGGATGATAAAAATCCGCTTATCATGGTCCTCGCATTATGGCAGGGAAAGCCGATCTCGACTTTTCGCTAAGTCAGGCGTCTGAGTCTGGCTACAATGCATCAAATTTGGACTGTGTTTGTTGTATTGTTTGACGACATTGCCGTTGTAGTGAAGATAAGGGGCTGTTTACATGAGCCAGTTTTCCCGAGGTTCAACGAAGCGTGAAATGATGATTTTGAAATACGTCTTTTTATAACGAAACAGGTAAATGTTATTTTTGGGATCACACACGGCCGCCAGGATCAAGCTGTTTACTCATTTCAATACTTCAGAATCATCTCTCGCGCTGTTGAACATGCATGCAGCTAATATAGGCAGATTGATGTAAATAGCCTCTGAGGATTCTGTCGACGTCTATACAATATTACGGAACTTTAGCAAGTGACGTTTTTGGAACCATTGGCAACGTGACTGTCGCAAAAAGCCTGGAAACTACTATGCCGTTTCCCGCGAATTTCAAAGCAAACTGCAGCGACGGAGACGTCTTCGTTTCGAGAAATTAGAGAGTTTTTTTAGTACTGAAAGCAAAGGCTATTACACCTTTACTTTTACCTCGACTTTTACTTTAAAAATTGTTTTTGAAATTGTAATTTGAATTTTGATATGTTCACACTGTAAGAATAAAACTTTTAGCCGTCGACTGCAATAACAGAATAAAATAACATTTAAGATTAAATAATAACATTAAAAATTTTGTATTGTTTTGATCGTTTGAGATTTCACTTTTAAACGATTATTTAATTGTAACCATAGCATAATGCAGCAAAATTTGACTATTTACCTATAATATACTTGGTAAAATTTTTATATAGACCGATTTTAGTTTTTTGTCGTTTTACAATATCTGTTTAGGTCATGCAGTTTAGCTATATTGTGTATTTGGTTTTTAATAGCGAGGGGTTGCTGCAGGCATTTGTTATTTCTAATGTATGTATTGAAAATAATTTATTTCATGCAACTTTTATTTTACAGATTGTCCACTTCTTTTTAAACATGTAAAAGTAACGCCTATTCCGTCAAAACGTTCAGTTAAATTTACTTGGATTTACGACCCAGATCCTGAAGATAAAGGTTTTACATTTCAATTTGAAAACTTTGCTATAAAGGAGCTAAGTATTACAACCCGAGAATACGTAATCCGTGGACTAGGTGCGTATGGATACGAAATTTCTGCTATATAATTATTCCTACATTTATATTTTCCCTGCGAGCCGGTGCGAGGCTACTAATTCCGCCCACAGTTTAGGAATTTCACCCCGAACCCGTGAGTACATAATTCAAATTTGTCCTGTCATTGACGGCGGATCGTGGACGTTGGACGGTTAGCATTCGACCGTTATGCGCATAAAAAGTCAGTTATGCGCATGTGCGAGTAGCGACTGGTAATCAACAAAAGTTCTGATTGGCTAAGACAGATAGTTTGTATTTCAATGCGAACGTCAGCAATTTAACTGATATTTCGTAAACTCTTTTGTAAAAGCGTTTCTGCTGTTTCATAAACTTTGTGCAAAATAAAACGAGAAGAAACAAAATAAAGCATGACAGATAACTAAGAACAGTATGAACGCAGTTCAAGACAAAGCGGTGTAAGAGAAATAATTCATAATCATGCATTAGGGAATAAGTTTATTTTGTTTATTTATTATTTACTGCACGGTAAGGATTTGGTTTATTGTATAATTTTCCTATTTCTGTGCCGTTTTGCAAAGGCATTAACTTTTTGCATAACTAACTGTGAAAGACTATTACACCTTCGGTTTAACTTCCAAAGTGTTTTTGAGAGTGTAATTTGGATTTTGATATGACACAAATATAACTGCATGTATACACTATAAAACTCTTAGCCGTCGACTTCAGTTATAGAATATTTAACATTTGCATGAGAATTTTGGTTTGTCTCTGAAGATTTGTACTGTTTTAATCGTTTGAAACGTCAATAATTTTAAACCATTTCTTAATTGCTGCCATGGTATAATGCAGCGAAAATTGAACGGCCAAAGTTTACACTAGCTTTATGATTTTTTTACCAAATGATGAATCATTGATCAATCAAATGACAAGTCATTTGCTTCGCACACGACTATATCGAGACTGGCAACAATTTCAAACTGGAGGAAAAAGATATAATCGACGGTTGTTTCGATATGATGAAGCCCTCGGGATATAACATCCTTTCGGAGTAATATTTTGAGCAGAAGGTCTATAAATGATAAATATAGCCCAATTTTTTAATCCTTTTTTTAGCATAAGTTTAGGTCAGGTTAGCTCAGGAAAGTGTGTACTTGGTTTGAAATAGCGAGGGATTGCTGCATGCATGTGTTTCTACTATAGGGATATATATAATTATTCATTATTGTGTACCAATCTCATACGATCTTGACTTTTCTGCATAATTATAAGTAATCAACAGTCAACTTACGCATACGTAGTTATTAACGGTATAAATCCTACAGATATTCAGTATATTGTTAGGACTAGCCTCTAATAAACTGTTTCACAGTTTTTTCAACACCATTTTGGTGGTCAGCGTTAGATCATATCGAACTAACGTACATGACGTCATAAATTTTGCAATAACGGAAGTATAACAACAGAAGTCTTACATGAAGTCTTTCTAGAGCTGGTTCATAAAAATGATAAAATAAAAATGGCGATGAATGATGATACATTTATACATTGATAAATGTACACGAAAGTGTAAATGTCTGTTACCCTCATACCCAGTATAGGAGTGATCATATACTTATGTAATAGTATCTCTGGCTTTACCCTAATTACGGTTAGGGTTATTGTTATTGAAAATTTTATGACGTCATGTACGTTAGTTCGATATGATCTAACGGCGACCCATTTTGGTCGCTATGTCCACATAGCCAGAAAATTCGGACATAATTAACATTCTACTTCCGCCTAAATTTGCATAATTATGGTGTCAAAATAAAGCTTCGTGAGCTTATAGTAAACTGTAATGTGCACAGTACTAAACGCTATAAATACAGCTTTGGGTAGTCGATTATAATTTGCCTTAATTGCTCGTTGCAGAGAAAGTTAATCTTAATATTTTGAGGCATTATTTCAAAATGTTTTATCAGTATTCGTCCTGCATTTTCAAAACAAAGTTTTGGTCATTTATCACGTTGAATACCATGCATATAAAACGAAATTAAAACCGTAATAGCGTAGAAATAAAATAAAAATGCAGAGCCCACATAAACATTTACCAGCAAAATATTACTTCAGGATCTTTAATATGACACAAGAAACAACCAGGGCAAATTCCAAAGATGCAATGATTTTCTTATATTTTGCGAAATTTAGGAATGCGCGATATAATTTATAGCTCTGTATAAACGAATAATATTTGAACAGATATGCAAATTTGCTACCGCAATCTGCATATTCCATGTCCGCAATTTCTGGCCATGATTGTGAGTGTTTATGTTCAGAGCAATCCGAAATAGGAGAACTTGCATGGGTAATATTTTTGAATCGGCTCATAGGAATCCCCATAAATATCTTTGAAATGATAAAGTTTGTCCAGTTGCGTTGTTATTGTAGCGGCTTTCAGCTCGATTGAACAATACCAGGAACTTTTTGGTTAATTATTGGTTAATTATATGACGCGCCAGACGCGGTAACTAGTTCCGATGTGGGACAGGTAAAGGTTTGCACAATCTTGTTTTCGATCAGTTGCTTAATTGTGTTCGTCGAGGAAACTTTTAATAAAAGTTTCGAACAAGTGTTCGTAATTCATCCAGCTGTTCGAACATCTCGGTTTGTCCGTCGTTCTTTTACGATTGTTATTTAGTTAGTTTGTAGTTTCTCTCTTAGCGTGTTAGTCTTAGTAATTGCATGATAAGATTATATTGAGCTGTTTTAGAACATTTTTTAGTGCATCTGATGACGTATTCATAATCTGTATATAGCCAAATATTCCTTTAGTTTAAGATATAGTTATGGTAGTTTTAGCTGGTATATAGTTATTAGGAATGCATAAACTTAGTTTTATATATTCGTTGATTGTTTAAGACAATTATAATCGACAACTTTAATGCTTCTCGAGGAGTAAGGTTGTTACTTGGTCAAGACTATGAAATTGTTCCCTGTGAAAATATATCCCTGAATTTGTTTTTTCGAACTCTAAAACGCGTCATGACATAGCAAAATCGTCGTTGTTTCGAACAGCTTGCGCTGCGGCCGTTACAGTTATTTTACTGACGGCAGTGATCGCGAACCATAAATGAATTTTCTTGTTGTTTCTTGGCATGACGGTTTTGTCATGCTTGCGATATATGTATGTGTAATTAGTATTAGTAATACATGAAGGAGCGAGTCGTGCGATGATTATTGGTATGAATAATTAAATAGAACGTCATATAAGCACCAAAGAATCAGACTGTTTCATTTAGCCCCACTGTCGCATTTTGCCCCGCATTACCCTAAACCTCGGATGTCCATACACAACCATTATAACTGACACGTAACCCCCACTATCCTCAACATAGACTTTGACACCTGATCATGACTGATCATTTCCTTATGTGCCTTTAATATTCAACGATTTCACGCCCGAAATTATTGTCTATTTACTCAATCTATTTTGTTTGTTCCTTTTTTGAATCTTTGTATGCTTTATCTTATTATAAATTTTGCAATCTGTCGAGGACATCAGCCAAAAAGTTATTAAAGGTGGCCTCAAGTGAAGAGCACCTTCTACAGTAAAAAAGTATGATTTGCAAAAGTGTTTTGTTTCAGCAATTTTTGAAAGAGAATAAATTGTCCGAAGCTCTACCTACGACTGTGGAGCACGCGTCATCGTATTTGAGCTTTTATTAGATAAGTTAACAAGCCAGTGAGGTGTCTCGATCGCACATATTCTGCATTAAAGTGGATCCACGGTCTACTGCCAATTACATTCAATCAACTGGAGGCCAGGTTGTGCAAAGAGCTTGTGGATGCTGAGAAAAAGCAAAGAAAGGCGCCTATCGCGGTGAAGAAAAAAACAACATCGGTCGACGTAATACAGACAATTGTAGAGATGAGGGAAGGTGCAACGCTCAAAGAAAAGAGCGCAACGATGAGTGTTTTATGCTTTGCTGGTTTGTTTCGCCCTGTGATGTGCATGTTCCTTCTAGTAAGCAGACAATTATCGACAGGGTCGAAAGATGTGTTTATCTCGAGATCGAATAAAGGTACATGTCCAGGGTTTTTACTGAACAGATATCTTCAGCAAGCGAATATAACTTTAAATTAAATCACAGTAAAGGCTACGTTTTTACAAATTTAGTCTACTTAAAAACGACAAACTAATATATTTTGGGTAATGAAGTGGTTTCGTATACAAGATTTCCACTACATTTATAGATGATGCGCTATAATTTTATGCGGAATATGCGGAATAGGTTACCACAGACACTAAGACTGTCCGAGTCTGTAAATAGTTTTAAAGTAGGATTAAAGACATATTTGTTTAGAACTGTATATAAAGATTTTATCTAAGTATTGTAAATAATCATAAATTGTAATTTTATACCCCTTTAATGTAAAGCGCTTCTGGATATTTATAGGAGATGCGCTATATAAGATTTTAAATTATTAATATTATTATTATTATATTGTCTGAAACCATTAAGTTACGCTAAACGGGAGTACTTCATAGCTTTCGAGCTCGTGGTGCTACAGAAATTGGAAAGAACTTCCCGACATTAAATCCAAAGAACGCTTATAAAAACTTCAAGGGTGGAAATCGGATATCGTCAAAGATATGCACGTACAAGATGATATTGAAAAGAGACTATAAGTTACTAAATTGTTAGAAGTGTAATCATTTACAAAAGCCTTTAAATGTGTTTACTTATATGTATATTAATATACATATACATACGAAATTGACTAGCAAATTTCTTATGAAAACAAAGAGAATCCCAAAAATATTTTAGATACTCGAAGAACGTTATTCCATGAAAAATATTTTAAAAATGAAACAAATGAAATTTTACAAAAAATGTACGAAACTTTTGCCTATTTGCTGAAAAATATCGCAGGACAATGCGGGATATGGAATGTGGTTTGAGGAACGAATCTGATTACTCAAAAAATAAACAAACAGCGTGTGCTTGTCGAGAGTCTGGGAGGCTAATTGTCATTTTCCGAATGTGTTTTATTATATTAATCACTTTTATTGAAATATAAATATTTAGTTACGCGTTTCAATCTTCTATGCACTCGGCTTAACATTTTAGCATTTTCAAAAAATCTTTTTAGCTACAAAATTTGTCTTGTTTGCGTTTAATGCTTTAAACCACTGGATTCTTGAAAAGCACACGTGCGCCGTTTTTTTTATTTTTTGACCAATCTGATTCGTTCCTTAAATTCATTTCATATATGTTCCGTAGCGTCCCTCGACATTTTTCGGCAAATATGTTAAAGTTTTTTACATTTTTTGTAAATTTTCACTCATTATTTTTTAAAATATTTTTTATGGAATAATGTGGTTCGAGTATCTAAAATATATTTGTGATCATTTATTTTAGGGATTCTCCTTGTTTACATATTTTAGAAGTGAATTTCGTATGTATGTGTATATTATTACAAGAGTTTCCATCCTTTTCAATACTATATCGATCTTATGCTTGGCGATCACTGACGTCACTGTAATGACAAAGCAACTCGACTAACTTTTATTATTTCAAAAATATTTATTGGGATTCCTATGATTAGCTTAGCCTACATTGGTGTCCATAAACACAAGTGATGCCCTGGATGAACGGACTTCATGGTTTTTGTAGAAAGTTAGCTATTGCCCGACGCCTTATTTGTAGTGCAACCTAAAATTACGAGTCGCCATTTAATATAATTTATCGGTTTTATTTTATAATTTTTAGTTCCATTTAAATCGTACACATACAAATACAACATTCGATATGGAGATGATTGCAAATTACCTTTAGATATGTTCGGTTTTTTCTGGACACTACCCGACGGTAAGTAAATATTTTTTACTCAGGCGTCAGCGACGGAGTTTTTGTTTTTGTTTTATTTTTGTTTTATTTTTGATTATTTTTTTTGTTATTTTTCGTCGTCGCAAGTCTGTAATGGCGCGAAATATACTAGTATTTGAAATAAATTAATTGTGTATGTGATTGGATTTATTTATGTCCCAGTCTTGTCTCCCAAGAGTTGTGGTGCACAGCTTTGGCTAATTTTTCGATGTGCGATTCGATTTCGCTCGCATGAAACAGCAATTACTCCAAGAGGAAAAAATAAACCGCTCTTTTAATGCTGTTCGATTAACTTTCCTCGATTCCCCGTTCCTGGTTTTAAAGATAGCCTTTGAAAATTTAATATAACTATATAAGCACAAATTCCAAAGGTAAAGTGTAAGACAAAGTGAATGTATTATGCGGTTTACTTACATTTTTGAACAATTGAACTTTTATACTTTTTAAAGTACGATGTGCTTCTGAATTTTGCGATCGAACAACATTTAGGTTCGCAAGGCATCTAAATGAATGTGAACTGTATTGTTTATGTTCAGAAGCTTTATATTGAAGACTGGCACGAGCGCGCCACGCCGGAGATTACGCCAGAACAGGCGTATTGTTTATTTAAAATTCATATAAAAGCTTTCATTAACTTCTAGCACTTACACTACTCTTGGTTTTTTGTTACACGCCAGCCTAAATTGGTACTGACAGATAAAATTTTGGTTTCCTAAAAGCTTCATCATTTTTATCCGTCCCTGAATTTATTCCGTTTACCCTATGTTGCCTGGAAAAACATAAAGATGGCGGTTATCACTACCACGTTACCTTGAAACTCAGTGGTACGAAGAGATGGCTCCAAGCAAAGAGATTTTTTGAAGAAGAACACGGTATAACTGTTAACTTCTCTCATCACTATGGCTACTACACTGCATAGCTGTACGTAAGCAAATCTGATGAATGATGATATAGTCTTCCACACCACAGGGCACCCGAATCTCGATGAAGTTGGTTCTCCAAGAACAAAGCGCTGTCAACAAACATATCGAAAAAGGCGTTGTGAGAAAAAATCGTCTAATGTGGATGGTAAGACGGCTGCTACAACGTCCAAGCGAAGGAAAAACTTTCAAATTTGGAAGTGGCAGAGTTCAGTGTCGAACATGAAATTAAGTTTGAGACTGAATTGTTAGCTGTTGCGAATGAGCAAGGCGAAGAGGGGAAGAAAGATCTCGCGGATTTTGTACTTTCATGGGCTTGCGTGAGCTTATAGAGCAAACATGGATAATGAAGACGACGAAACGTCTACAACGAAAAAAAGCCTCACGAACAGATTTGATACGCAAGGCTGCTGATTGTGAATGTTTAACATGTTGCGAAGGAAAATGGTTGGGATGCGCTGAAGAAGTGCTTGTGATCAACAAAGTCCATCCTATATTGTTTGCTGCTGCCGTTAGAGAGCTATTGCTGATAGGACGAAGGAAGTACCGGAATGTGATGATAGTTATGACGACTAACTCTGGAAAAACGTTTCCATCAAGACCGTTGGAGTTAATTTTCACAAAATTATCGAATCCAGCGGAGAATAAATATGCATGCGTTGGGCCCGAACATGCAAAAATAATTTTTTTAAATGATTTCTAATGGAACAAGGAGTTAATCGATTGGAAGAGTTTTCTGCTACTATTGGAAGGAGATAGAGTTAACATGCCAGCTCATAAGAATCACTTCAGCACCGACGTTTGCATCAGTGAAGATACGCCAATATTTGCAACTTCAAAGAGTATCATCAAGTATAAAGGCTGTTACAACTCTTACGACCAAGCCGAAGATGACATGATGGCGTCAAGATGGAAAGTATCCCACAAAATCGCGGAAAACAAACAGAAATATATTGTCCCATGTGCATTAGGTGTTTTGCACAACTTGTATTAATACTTGTAATAATGGGAGAAATATATATGCTAAACAATGCGGAACATTATTCAGTACTTGTTGTTTATTACATTTAAAATTCGTAGACTACTATGGCAAAATATAGCCTAAAGAGAGACCAAAGTTTATGAACAATAAACATTTATGTTTTGTGCAATGGGCAATATTTATGCTACATGTTACATAATGTTGCACTACATGTTACACCACATGTTACACCTACTTATGCAACAATTATATTTTACTATATATCTTACACATTTAACACCATGTTACACCTACTTTTAAAAAGAATATACTGATTATTTAAAAAAGTATAGGTGTAACATGTGTAACATGTCAAGATATATATAGTAAAATATAGAAGTTCAAGTGTAACATGTAGTGTAACATGATGTAACATGTGATGGATTTAATCATACGTTATATATAATATATATTAGTTACAAGTATAGAACAACCGCCCAATTTGGGGGAAATGCGTGACTGTAGTACGTTTGTATTGATTAAAATCATTTGATATCAGTCGATCTTGTGGATATATCACTACTGTATACAGCAGCACTGCTGAATTTTTGCACTTAAAAATATCTAGAATATAATGATACAGACATTTACGCTTTTTAATAAACTAGTACTTAGTTCTTTGACCCTTTCCTTGAGTTAATGCTTCAAACTTGCTTGGACTGAAACACGCAACACGTGTCTTTTCCCCACTCACCTGAATTGTGAAATCAAAATACGTAGCATTTCCAAAACGTGGTGTCTTGATGTTGGATACATTGTGAATATAGCCCTCGATGTCTTTGCTCACCATTTTTAACACAAATACCCCACTTGTGACTCAAGACCCGTATGCTCGGGAGATCACAGTTATAAATAGCCCAACTAGCTGGTCGAACTGTTTAGATTGACTCTTCTGCTAATCAACTAGAGACGACAAATTCACCCTTTATATCCAAACCCTAACCCTAACCCCGAGTTGACGCCGTGTTATGGACCGAATTTGCCAAGATTGGCTGAGTACATCTTGTATGGCAATCAGCTTCTTAAATGAACAATAGATAATGATTGTTGATACGGCAACAGGCTAATTGTAATTATTTGGTGATTTATCAGCATTATTTTGTTTTTTACGGAATTATTTTCGAAGATCTTTCTGAGATTTGTAAAACACTGACCCAATTAATGATTTTTAAACCACTGACTCAATCTGTGATTTACAAATCACTCACCGAGGCAGTGTTTTTCTAGTCCAGTCCAGTCCGGTCAGTGTTTTACAACATGCCAAGTGGGATGTCAGTGCATGTGTTCATTAAATGCAACTGGCGCATACACCAAAATTCCTTCACTTCAAAATTGCATGCACTAAAAGCCTTCTTAAATGGCGCAATCTTTAAAACTTGCACGCAAATTTAGTTCTTCTGTTCAGACAAATAAATTTTGCAACTTTCTCATAGTACCTAGCGAGGCTCAAAATATTTTATTGGCGGTCAAAGAGAATGCACTCAACGTAACATGGGAGCGGCCAAAATATCTAAATGGTATATTCCTGCATTACACAGTACTGTGGAAAAAAACTGGTTTGGGAGAGAAATACGCAAAGAGAAATATCACCTCCACAAATCTCATCATAGAAAACTTACGTAAGTTTGAATGGTATTCAGCACCCTGTGAGATAAATTTTAAAACTAAGTTTTCATGTCACATCATAACAGTATATTTTTCTACAATACGAAACTTTGTAATTGACTATAACAACAAGGAGGAGTTTCGTTTTACACCAAACAGCAATTTTGTTTATATTTTCAGTATCCTAATCAGAATGCCTAAATATTGACTACTTCCGAATATTGACTACTTACACGTTTCACTATAGCAAACGTACGTAGGACACACCGCGGCATTCACCCATGCAGTGAGATAAATTTTAAGATGAAATATTCTTTTCACATCATAACAGTTACTTATCTATAATACGACAATTTGTAATAGACTATAGCAACAAGGAGGACTTTAATTTGTTTTAAACCAATCAACAATTTTGTTTTCATTTTCAGTATCCTAATCATAATGCCTATAATTTATATTGACTACTTCCAGAAAAATGGTACATGCATTATTTACCATTTCACATTAAGCATTAAAAATTTAGGCATTCTGATTAGCTTAAGTTGAAAAAAAATTTAATGTAGACAAATGTGTCGATTAGTTTGAAACGAAATTCCTCTTTGTTTACTATAGCTCTTAAAATTTTAAATATTTTTTTAAATACATTTGATAAGTGATACATTTTTACCATTTTTAGTTGGCTATACTTCATATGATGTCAAACTGCGCTGTGTAAATCACTTTGGGACTAGTAATAGCTCTAAACCAATCTCAGCTACAACTGAAAAAGGTTTGTCTTATGTAATTATTGTATGAAATATGTACACCTTTGGAAGTCAAGTCATGTGGAAGTCAAGTCATGCAGTTCTGCATATCTACAGTTCTGCTTATAACAATGTGAGATGGGCATCTGGCTCTGCTCCTCGGATGTAAAATTTGCCCATCGTTTGCATGCTTTGAATCTTTTTGAACGTATGCTTTAGTCACATTCATTCAGAGGCGTAGCGAACCTCAGTATTGATATATATTTAGGTATGCAGCATAGACATATCATATTTTGAAAAGAAGCTAAATGAAGCTCAGAATGTAAACATGCTGCTTATTTAAGTACGGGCTTGACTCATTATCTTAAATATAGGACTTGGACCATATATTCGTATTCAGACAGTCAATTCGCAATTAGCCGCCAGTAATTTCACGGGATTTGGTAAAGTGGATATAACATGCACTGGGGAAGGAAATAATGCAACAAAGATCCGCTGGGTCAGAATAAGTAGGAACGGTAGCATTATCACTTTGAATACAACTCACTTTGACTGGAAAAGCAGCGAGAACAGCCCAAGTGGTACATGGAAAGCCGTGTTAATTGATAATCCGCGAGATCGAGACAAATTTCCCTATAGATACCTTTGCGCTGTGGTGAACCATTGTTGCCTAATGAAAATTTCATCACCAATAACCATACGACACACTTCTCGACCAGGTAAATTAATTAAACCATTATCTTGTCCTAGTTTAAACAATAGTAAGAAAAAAGCAACAAAATTCATTGGTGTTATAGGACTGCATGATGATTTGTTATATACGAGTAAAATCGCTCCAAAATACTCATAGTTTCTTTCTTTCTCATCACAGAGGTACATAACTATGCTAATATTTTGGTGTTCATTCACTCTGAAAACAATGAATTTTTAAAGAAATAAATAACGCCACTGAAAAAACCACCCAACGTCGACCGTCCATGGCATTGAATTTGCACAACTTAATTTGGATTCCGCTATGCATGGGTTCCCAGTGTAATTCCTAATCTCTGGGCGGAATTTGTACCCTCGCCCGGCGCTGCATGTCGATCCTTAAACGCCATTTGTGTTCGAAACATGCTTACTCGTGTTACCCAATTCGGACCATTTGTCTCTTGTATTTCGTGCAGTAAACTCATGACACAAGATACGTATAACCTTCCTCTATAAACACAGCAGTAAAAAAATGCCGATCGTACCGAGGAAGGAGCAAAAAACTGCCGCAACGTTATTCCAAGCAAGATCACCAACCTGACAACAGCTATTTTCCTATTTTAACAACGTAAATATAACCACAATGCGATTTATATTTTTAATTTTAATTCAAGTTCTATATAATCACTGTACACCTTACACTTTAGCGGCAAATATTGCATATAAAGTCGTTTCGCATTACACGATCCCCGACTCCTATTAGTGGTTCCGACAGCCATTTCAGCGAAATATAGCTACCAACGAAACATTCAAAATCCATTCCATTCAAAATTATACTTTGCAGTTCACAGTTGCCCAACGTCAGGAGTAACGAAGCCAATACGTGCCGACGTTTTTCCAAGTAGACGTTCAGTAAAATTATTTTGGCAATACCATAATGATCCAGAAGATAATGGTTTCAGGTTTACAGTTTGTCGAATACAAACAGAAAATTTGGACATCAGTCAGCGAGAATACCAAATTCATAATTTGGGTATGTGGAGTTAACAATACCAGTTGCTACGAACGTTCTCTTACATAAATTAAGTTGTTCATGAAGGCCCGCGGGGCGATTCAAAGAGTGAGACGGCTAAGTCCTAAATGTTACTTATTTCAATAATTTTGTTCGCCAAAGATGTGCGGCCTCCCCCCCCTGGTCTCCACTGTCCATTTTCATGATCTAGAGCGAAATCAGGGAGCGTTGTTAAATAATACCCAGGGGGGTGGTTGTATCAAGCCGGTTTAGCTTAAACTGTCGATAAGTCAAAACTCAATACATCTCTCTTGAATAGGTCAACTTCGGAATATTAATGTACTTACTGTAGTTGTGTGTTAACAGTATAATTGTTTTAAGGTTTTTGGTTTACTTGTTGAAAAAAAAACGACAGATTGCTTTCAATTTAGAACTTAACCACTGTTTTTATCCTTAAATGACAGAAATTGAGTCGATACTTCATGTTTCTATCATTCAGGGGCCGGTTATACGAAGGCTAGCTGGATAGCGCTATTCACCGGATAGTGATTTTTTCAACCGCTCTAAAAATGCTCGAAGCGCGATAAGGTTTATACTTTAGAACCTAAATTATTAAAGAGGATCCTCGATTTAGGAACACTAGGATTTGATCAAAGTTATGGGAAAAAACGCCCGATTTTAAAGCGATTGAAGAAACCACTATTAGGTGGATAGCGATATCCGGCTTTCATACAACCGGCCCCAGATGTTAAAAGTTCAATAATTAAACAACCAAAACGGACAGTATACAAATCTTCAAGACTAAACGTCACACTTTATCTTTCAAATATTTCATTAACGTTGATATTATTAATATTTCTTTTGAAAGTCTCTGATTCATGCAATATTTTTCTGAATATAGTCGCTAGAATATTTTCGTCTTATTTTAGTACCGTACACAGTGTACAATTACAGCTACGGAATACTGTATGGGCCTGGATGCAAAACAAAGACTTTAAGTGGTCAATTTATTACTTTATCAGATTGTGAGTATGCACTCAAACTCGTTTCTCATGAATTACATTGTTCAATGTGTTACATCAATTAGAGCAAAAGTGTAATGGAATCAATTCCCCATGTGACTAATCGATTCCCCATTTGTTATGTTAGAATAATTATCTTGCCAAAGCATTCTCATTTCCCAGACAAACAGTGATAATGTGCAACATTTGCTAATTAGCTCGATAATATATGTGTCTCACTTTATTCGTGTTGGCTAGATATATTTATTTTCATTTCTCAGATCCTGGCATACCTCGAAACATAGTGGTAAATGTTGAAGGAAATTCTCTTAACATATCATGGCTGCGACCTGAATACCTTAACGGTGAATTTAAACATTATGTATTGTCTTGGAAAAGGAGCTCTGAAAAATATTCGAAAGTTAACGTCACGTCAACACAATATATTTTAAGAAATTTATGTGAGTATAGCATTTTTAGATATATGGAAAATTCAAGCCAAACTGTCAGAAGCTTTCCACCAAAAAAGGGAACCTTAATTAGGTTTGACGTTAAAGTTGTTGTATCTAATTTAAGATAAAGTTGGTGCGTACTCAATCAAACTTCAGGCAGTTAATGATGTAGGCGTTGGAAACAGCTCTGCTTCGGTGTCGGCAGAAATTGCTCCAGCTGGACGATCTGAATCTCAAAGTTCTAACGCTGGGGCTATCGCAGGTGGTACAATTGCGGCACTACTAGTCGTGATATTTGCCCTGCTGGTCTTGTATCAACTACGAAAAAGAAACTTGCAGAGAGAGCGCAGCAAATCAATCGAGGTATTCACACAAGATTATTAAATTAATATGTTGCTTGGCAAGCAAGCGGTGTAGATGTTTTAAGCTCGTAAAGCTATACTGTAATTATATACTTTGATTGTATTATTGTTTAATTATTTTTCCTTCACTATGGGTGAATTGCGAATATGTGACATGAGACTGCATAACGCGACTATAATTCATTGTTTTACCAACTACTACTCAACCTCCTAACTGGTTGGCAATAGGGGCGGATCTGAAATTTTTCGCACGTTAGTCAAAATATGGGATGTAAAAACGGGGAGGTGGTTCAATTGCCACCCCCGCCCACCCGGAATAACGACATTTCGAAAAATATTAACTTATCATCTGAACGCGAAATTTATACAAAAATTATAAGCGAAAAGTACGCATTAAAAATGTTTAAATGTTTACTGAGCTTTCACAATTTTAATAGCAGAAACACATGAGTCGAAATAACAGGAAATAATAGGAAATTACAACCATGGGCATGGAATAAAAACATGAATGATGAATGCGGTCAATTTGTAAGAGTGACTGAATAATATTCATAACTGTTACAGCATAAGCTAGAATTGCTCCAAGCTATGCTACATGCCAAATATTATATGTGCTTAATGCCGCTTACACTTTACCCTAAATATCACAGTTATGCAATATTGTTTATAATGCGCTATAATTCATAATTGCCATATTGGTTTGGTGGTAATTATGATTACGTTTGTGCTTTTTGACATAAACATGGATTACATGATTTTCCAAATATATAAATCTTCTTTACGCGCTGGTTAGACGTAAATTCATACAGCAAATCTTGGTTGATACTTGATACAAATAAACAATGCAATAATCGATCATATCACCGAACTACGACTGGCGAATGCAAATATATGCTAATGCAGAACCACGCTCAAATATACAGCTAACATAGCAAATTATATAGGACTATGGTTTATAAGAACTTATAGAAGTATTATTTATATGAACAGCGACATGAATCTTTACCTTATCTCAGTAGATTTCTCATTTTGACGAGCACACGAGGTAACAGAATTATCCATATTACTCGACAAGACGACAACTGAGAGCTATTCGACATAATTATTCGCTATTTGTAGCGTGAACTTCCTAACAAAGATCTGTATTGGGCTTGCAGGAACCTCAAATCATTACGATGAAATGCCATTTTGTAAAATTAAAATACGAATTCGTATAAATGGCGCGATCGAACAGTAGAATCCAACAGATTTTTAAAAATATCCGCTGTCGATCATCCAGAAATTTTTCAATATTCCTTATTTACTTGAGAAGGATATATTTTATCCTTTAAGTCAAATAAAGCAAACCAATAAGAAATCAATATTTCTCTTTCACCAGCCAATAGCAAAGCTTAAATTTGGCGAATGAGTCAGACCCCCGCAATGATAAGGCAAGCCAATGAAGAACCAGTATTAGCCCTCCACCAGCCAATCGGAAACGCTTAAATTGCGCAGATGAGTCAGACCCCCGCAAAGATAAGTCAAACTCATTCTAAGCCAATCAAATGCCTAGAATCAGACGTCGATGAGGCAAAGCAAGCGGGTATCCGGTATCATGACTCATTTGCCGAGGGCTCAAAAATTCAACCAGGACTATGTGTAATTTTTGACTTAGGCTCGTCATCTGACAACCCCTAGATCCGCCCCTGGTTGGCAATATTACTCCTTTAGGACTATATCATTCATATCAAATTCCCACAATAATTCCCAAGAGTGGTATATAAATTGTTTAATTATACTTTTAGATGCTTGTTATATATATCATATCGTATCATGCCGCGTTGATAGGGCAATGTGATCAATGCATGCATACATAATATAAATTTTCAAAATATATACTCACATACCTCTGTGCACCTCACCCAGCAACTTTAAATGCATTATGTCCGATCTCTGTTGCAGACATTTCTTTCTTGGCGTCTTAATCGTGTCGACAATCCAAACAACAGAAATAGTATGTTCACAGAACAACAATCGTGTAGTAGCAATGTTGAAAATCTCGCTGTGAAACAAGGTGAGTGCGCTTCCCGCGAGATGCATTCAAATTATTTGAATTTCTTCGTTTTCAAATAATTTAAATAACTTTTTGTGGCATGTGAGCTAATTTCGTCATCCCAAATCATTGATTCGGTATCATTTTAGATGTGGCCATGGAGGAAAGCATTTCATATATTGTTTTGCTTGAGTCTTGGGAGATCGCACCAGATAAACTCAAGTTGCTGGACAAAAAACTAGGAGGAGGGCAATTTGGAATTGTTAAGCAAGGATTATTAACAATTGACAAAAAAGATCCTGAGATTGTTGCTGTAAAAATGTTAAAAAGTACAGAATCTTGTTTCTATGATACGAATGACGTTTTCAATACTTGATTCAGTCCCAAACAAATTGAATAACGGTTGATTTTCCGCCATAGGTGGTGCCAGTGAGACTAATCTCCAAGAATTGATGACGGAACTAACAATACTAAAGGAAGTAAACAAAATTCCCCACCCTAATGTCATAAAATTGATTGGTGGCTGTACAATAGAAGGTAAGCAATGGGAAAAAAAGCAATGCATAGCTTGTATTTAGCCTATCGCTTAAAAGCACGATTCGCTGAGTCCTAGAATTTGCGACTGATCAAATAGCATACAAATTTTGGGAATTCGGCTATTTAGCAAATAATGCCTAAAAAGTACATACAGTAGCTATATACATCAACGAATTCCTCATTTGCGCTAAAAAATTGCAATAATAGGATAAATGGAAGGGGCTTTACGAATAACATTTTGCCTAGGCTTCTATAACAACATGGCCGAGAGTTTATAATTTGTACCGTTTGTACCACAAAAAAATCCTTTTTTCAAATCACTCTTTCGTTGCTAATGGTACTTTTTTAAAACAGTGTCAGTGTAGAACATGAAACGAAATGAAATGAAACCATATATACACAAGACATCAAATGTGGTAATGTGGTAATGTGGTATAACAACTGCCTAAAATATAGCAAGTAAAAAATGACGTTTTGATCAAAAGGTCTTTGTGGCCGGGTAAGGTTGTTTTGAAATGAATTGGAAATAGCACATGGCTTTTGTATATAAGGGCTTTGGTTTCAACCCGAAAATCTGATCACTCGTCCATACAATTGTGCATTTTTGTATCGCTTTGAAAGAAAAAGATATAGAATAACCTGCTTCTGATATTGCAGCCTTTCGACAGGTCATCATACACATTTACATACACATACATGTATGTTCACATCTGAAAGATGTCAAACGGTCATTTTGAGAAGGACACAGAAGCATATTTAGACGATTCGCTTTTGCCGTGTGCAAGCTTCAGATTTTTGGTGCAAGACGTAATATATATTTTGTTTAGTGTTCAAAAATATTTTTCTCACCAAGTTTGAAGCCTATAACTATTAACGAATGCTGCTTTTTCAATCTTTTCAAGTCTTTTTCAATTTTGCCAATTTTCGCGGTGTCGTATAAGGGCTAACACATGGCAATGAAACATACACTCAAATTACATTTCTATTACTTTCCAGATAAATTGACGCGGTCTTTTCCGGGGAAAAAAGGACCAGAAATCAAAGAAGCATTGTTTTACAAAAGAATTGTCATAAACGTTTCATTCTTTTTTTTTAGGAAAGCTTCATTTAATTACGGAATTTTGTCCTGGTGGAAGTCTACGCAGTTTACTGATCAACAGTCGAATTCAACGAAAAGAAGAAGACTTCCCAGCTAAATATGTTAACTTGGCGTCGACCTTAAATCATGGTCAATTGCTAAAAATTGCTGCAGATATTTCAAATGGAATGATCCATCTTTCTTCCCAAAGGGTAGCTACATTAAAACGTACCGAGTTTCAAGTCGTTTACCATTTAGACACCACAATTTTCGGATAGGAAAATACTAGTGAGCTTAAGATAGCGACGTTTTTTACCGATCTGAAGTAAATCGAGCCTTTGAAGATGACGAGAGCCGTTCTTCTTTGAAATGATACACGAATGTAAAATCTTGCATGTCAACTGCCGTTCTAGTTTTCAAATTACCGAATGCTGTCGACGCAAGAATGTAACGTTAAATATAATGTACGCGTGACGTCTGTGTTGTTAAGTTGCTTTTATTTCTACCCGAGGTGGGATATCTTTACAATTAATTAACAAATGATCATGAAATGTTTTCTTCTTTGTCTGCCTATCTCTTCTAGATCTTCGTCGTTTATTGTTCTGTCTTTTCGTCTGTTCTGTACTGTTGAGCTTCTGCAACGTTTCACGTCGTCGGGTGTTGCATGTGCACGCTCTTTTATATAGTAAAGGTTGAGGGACACTTGCACACGTCATCAACCCGAGTACGCTGATCCTTATCCAGCTAATCAGCGTTGTGAGTGAATTATGGGTTGGCGTTAGAAGCTCGTTTCAGCTCTGATATCTTGTTTGTTCAAGGCGTTAATGCACTAGTTGTTTTTTGCTTAATCGACCAATGTTAAAACTTGTTCACAGCTTAAAATATTTATCATCATCAACTAACAAAATTTACAAACAACACCTCCGAAAACAATATCTTTCAATTCAAACTATTTACGCTTTTACTTTAATCCATTAAACTTTTGATGACCTAATACTTAAAATGCTCGACCATGCAGCATATAAAACATAATTGATTGACATAAGAGCTTGCATCAGCCTACAATGTGACAGTTAAGCTTAGCAACGACTTAGGACTTTTGATCCAGGTATTTAGTTCTGTCAAATGTTTTAATCTAATTACTTATTTGATCTCACGTGCACAATATATCATACATGAGAGGAAAAGTGAATAATGATTGTGAATGGCCGAAAATTTACTCAGGCATCTCGTGCAAAAGTCAATCACTATAATCCCTGTCAAGCCAGATAATATTCCTATTTTTACAAATATTTCAAATATCCACATAATTTTATCCAGTAGCATAGCCAGCCTGTCGATTTGTCCTGCTATGCTAATTAATATTTTAGTGTTCACTGACCGTATAAACAATAGATTTCTAAGGAAATGAATACTTATAATAACTCGAAATTTACATAGCAGGACAAAATTGTCAGGCTGGTTACGCCACTCATTTTATCTGAACACAATAACAGTGTTTTTAAAATGTCGCTATCTTAGGAGTACAAACAAGGTATTGGTTTTATTATTACATTTCGAAATTAGTCGTGACTTTGACAGTGTTTTGAACGTGTTTCTTATATTTTTCAATAGATTGTTCATCGTGATTTGGCCGCTAGAAATATTCTTATTGGTGACGATAATTTGGCAAAAGTTTCTGATTTTGGTTTGGCGAGAGATGTTGGTGGCGCTAAGGAATACATAAAAAACCATCAGGTGATCGACTTAAGGCCCGGTTACACAATGCAATTGTTTTTTGCAACTTTTAATGCAATTGTCCTTTTAAGAGATGTAAATTAGTAAAGAGTCTACAAAAATTTCTGTAAGAAACTTCAATGGATTGTTATAAAAATAAAATGTAATGTTTCTTCGTTGCAAACGTACATCTTTCAAAAGGAGAATTGCTGCATTGCAAATTGCATAAAATAGCATTGTTTTTAGCATTTATATTTAAGGCAGCACAAAAAATAAATTCTAATTACCTCGCAGGGGCTAACTACAGGGTGTCTCAAAAAAACCCGAAAACTATTGAAATCACGCAGTGTTAAAATTTGAATGCCGTGTAAACGAATTTTAGCGCGTGGGGATTTAATGAAACTTACAAAATGCTAAACACGAAAAATTTGAAATTGTGAATATGATTAAATTTAAAGCAGCCTTGTTTTTGCTTCGAAACAAAATGGTACAGCTGACCGCGGAACAACGAGTTTTTATTGTGATAAAATGTACGCATACCCAAAGTACAACGGAAGTTCGAAACGCTTTTCGACGAAGGTCGACAAAGGAAATTTTACTGCATCCTGCATAAAAATGCTTATGGCAAACATTCATATACTTGTGGGTCCCAACAGAGTGCTTAATCATTCAATATTACAAAAGAAATACGTAGGGCAGAGCTGGATATATGAATATTCACCCCCCCCCCTAATTATCGTTCTAGTTACGTAACTGTTACCTCTTGACTCATAGCCATTACACTTATTCTATTATATGAAGAGAATTACATTCTTGCAACGAAAATTTGCATATTTGGACAGGCCAAACGTGCATGACGAAATTTCTGTTAATTAAGGAAAAAAGCATCCCCGCACACTTTTCTCAACTTACCAATACAAAATAAGTGGTCCACGTGAAAATCGTGTGCCATTTCCGTCGTTGTGAAGTAATTGCAGCCGAGTATTCACAGGTGAATACGTGCGAATATGAGTTCGACTAGAAATACATGCATGCAGCAACCCCTCGCCTCGGTTAAACGAAATTAGTCCACGAGCCGGTGCGGAGCACCGTGCGAGGGTACTAATTCCGCCCGGAGATTAGGAATTACACCCGGGACCCAGGAGAACATAGCGGAATCCAAAGTCGCCTAAATTTGGACCATGGACGTTCAATGGTCATGGTACTTGTGCGCATGCGCGAAATGTGAACGAGTGTAGACTGGTAATCAACGAACGTTCTGATTGGCTAAGACAGTAAGTTTGTATTTCAATGAGAACGTCAGCAATTCAACTGTCATTTCGTAAACATTTTTGTAAAAGCGTTTCATAAACTTTGTGCAAAGAAAGTAAAACGAGAAGAAACAAGATATATGAAGCATGACAGATAGCAAAGATAAACGTGGATACAGTCAAAACAAAGCCGTGTAAGAGGAATAATTCATAATCTGCAAGCTTATATGTTTTCAAAGACAAAGGGTACGTGTTTACTTTGTTTATTTCGTATTGCTTTCGCGGTAAGAATGAGCCGTATTTGTATACTTTTGAGCATTGTATTCCGTATATTTGTTAAATATTCAGTTTTTTATGCAAACGCATAAACCTGTGAAGGGCTATTACACCTTTGCTTTAACTTCAAAAAGTGTTTTTGAAAGTGTAATTTGAATTTTGGTATCAAAAATACACAATATATTTATAAATTATACTGAAACTTTTAGCCCCCGGCGTTGACTGCAATTACAGAATAAAATAACATTTGAAGTTTTTTCTTCGTCTGTGAAGATTTTGTACTGTTTTAATCGTTTGAAACTTCGATTTTAAACCGTTAATTAATTGCTGGCATGGTATAATGCAGCAAAATTGAACGGGCAATGTTTACACTAGCCTTATGATTATTTTTGTATTGAATGATGGAAACTTTAAGACTGATTTGAGTTTTGTGTCATTTCATAATATAAGTTTAGGTCAGGCTAACTCAGGAAATTGTGTACTTGGTTTGAAATAGCGAGGGGTTGCTGCATGCATGTATTTCTAGTTAAGTCATAGGAAGCCCAGACAGATGAGTTGAAGTTAATAAAAATCCGTACAACATGCACTTGAGATATATGTTAAAATGAATTAAAATATATGTAAATTGCAACAAAACTTCTGTTAGAACCATGTATGCTCCAGTGGCGCTGCCATTTGACTATGCACCTAGCGACGTAATTTACTATAATTATTGGGAAGGAAGGAAACTCTCGACTCAATTTTCAACATGTTGACATATTAAAACACAAATTACTATAGTAAAACGGCACGTCGACTGCTAAATGCACATGCCTACCGCAGGTTTAAGTCGAATAATCAAGCTATAAACTTTCATAATAGAAATAATGCTGAATTCAAAGGAAAGCGTTAGAAAAACGTACACAAACTTTGTAAATTTGCCAAAATTTTCGTGAATACACGAGGGAGGTTGTACCTACCCAAAATGCCGGCGGCGGCAGAAGAATCTGGTTGGTCGATCATTCATTGTTTACCTTTCTCGACCAATCTGATTGGTCGATCATACTTTGTTTACTTTTCTCGACCAATCAGATTCTTCTGCCGCCGCCATTTTTGGTATACCTTTTATATTTTGGATAACATTTAAACTATACAAAATCTCAAATAATCTTATCATGGCATATAATGCTATGCAAATTAATATGGCAACCAAAAGATCATGTTTGTTCACGTTGATAATTTTTTTCATAGACAAACTTGAAGGACAATAAATCCTTAAACCTTTGCACAGACTGTCGACGCATAAACCATTAACTTTTTATCACAAGATAATTCGTGAAAGAATACTCACCACATGGTCATAGCCATAGGGTATAATCTATAGGCCGGCTCAACTACACAATATTCAGTCACTCACCGAAGATGTCCTTTTACACGCATTGGGATCAAAATTTGGAAAATAAAAAATGAATCTTTGTAAAATGGTTAATATTCGTTATCATTGTAAACTGGTGAAGAATTAATAGCATGCCGTGTGTATCTTGCCATGCAATCTCATTTCTGTTTCGCGCATTTTCTTCGTAGAATCGTAGCATACAAATACTGAAATACTCGCTGGCATGCCGCTTTAACCGTGGCGTTCTTGACTCTCTTCTTGACTGACCCATATTTATATGCACTAAAAAGCTTTCTTACAAGTACGAATGTCGATCATTGATCAATGTTTATTTTAAAACTTGAAAGCTCGCTTTTTGCGCCAATTATTAATAAAATTCCACATCCATTTTTGAGCATAAAATAAATTTTAAAAAATGTCAGCTACAGAAAATTATCTTGTGGAAACACGAATTAAGCGAGAAGTGAGATATTCCAAGTGTGAAAATTGTTCGGAGTACGCGCATATTCACAGCATATTCACACTTAAGGCTAATTTCTACTCCGGAAAACGAGCAGCGGATCGGATTGGATCGGATTTTTTTCCAAGCCTGGTCCGATCCATAAAGTGATTTCGGATCGGATAAAAAAAGTTAAAATTATTTGAATTCTTTTTTTCCGGTCTCGGACGCTTTCGGATCAATATAAGCCAAAAATTTCTACAGATGGGGCACGCGCGGATTATCTTTCGTTCCGATCCGATCCCCTGCTTGTTTTCCTGAGTGGAAATTAGCCTTTAGCATAGTAAAGAATACGATGCCGTATTCACACAAATATTCCACGTTGGAATACGCTGGCAACATGTGTTTTATTCCAATCTGTATTCACATGTGAATACCTTGGAATACGGCGTTTTTCATGCGGTTTGAAATGAATGGTTAATATGAGTCATAATTTCAAGTAAAATTTTTCGTTGTAGAATTTGCTTCCCATAAAATGGATGGCCTTGGAAAGTCTTCTTCATGATCGCTTTACAACTGCTAGTGATGTGTAAGTTGCAAGTCTGCAAATAGCAATTTAAGTTATTAACTTTGTGCTAGAATATCTACGAAGCAAATCGTTGCAAAAAATTGAAATTACACAAGCTGTCTCTCTAATATCATACAGTATTTACAAGATAGAATATCCTGCTCGGGATAGTATATTAAATATGCATCAGCCTTCAAACCACAATTTAGTAAGAAGTTGCGATCGCATTCAAACCCCTATATGTTCGACACTCTTTCAAAACCAATATTTCTCTTTCAAAATCTGTTCGAGAACTTCTCTTTTTTTCGTCCTTGATAAGTTTCATGATTATAGAGGAACTCACGGTTCGTGTTCTTATTTTAATAGGTGGAGTTTTGGCGTACTACTTCATGAAATTACAACACTAGGTACTCGCGTTCTATGTCCAGAGTGCGCGCACGTGTAACAACAAAGTTGAATTTCCAATGCATGCATGCATGCATGCACACGTTTGTACATGTTCTATTTTTATGGTTGAAATATCTGACATGTTTTTCAAAATTTCATAGGAGAGGAGCCTTACAAAAACATTTCCCCTTACAATATTGTTAGTCATGTGGGGTCTGGTTGTCGCATGTCACAGCCGCAACATTGTTCTGATGAAGTGTAAGGGCAACATTTGCTTGTTTCTTGTTCTTTTTCAAAAGTTGCATATTCGGCTAGTATCGTCGTATTTATCTTGGTGGCAAACTATGACAATCTCGAATTATACTTCCGCTGCTTTTTATTAGGTACGGAATAATGTCAAATTGTTGGAAAGTTGAGCCTTCAGAGAGACCAAAATTTGAGGAAATACATGAATTGCTTAAAAACATGATGCTGGATAATGAGGTACAATTTTATGTATCCTTCTATAGCAGATAATGTGCAAAAATTTCATGTTAATGTTGATCGCAAATGAATATCAAAAAGTTCATGTAGCGTAATTACAGAGCACGAATCCCTTAGAAAATGTCAGTAAATTAATATTAGTCGTAATCGTCAGTAAAGTTGATATTAGTAAAGTTGTATTGATTCTTGAGACGTTGCCTGAAAACGTCGTAAACGTCGTTTAATCCCGGTCACTCTTCTATCGTATATATGAATAGTAATTTTTTGTCCATCAATTTAGAATGAAAATTCTCTAATTTAAGGTGGCTCGAAACAGCATATTTCGTTGCGCTCTTGCCCGTGGAAACATTAATAACCTCGCAAAATTTGTCCATGCAGTTTTATTTTCGAACGCACTGCCAAAACCAGGGAGAAATATCAACATAAATGCTGCTATCAGAATCAGAACAATCAGAACAGCATCCATGACGTGTGTTTGTTTCACGTGATGCGTGTCTTAGACCCCGCGCGTGCAATTGCACACGTCATTATAATTAAAAAAAATCCATTTTTGGCAAAAAAAGCGCTATATCTCGTTATTTCGTATGGTGACCTATGCTGAAATTTGCATGCTGTATTGTACTACACATGTCTCTCGTATTACGAAATATAGAAAAAAAATTGTAATGGCAAAAAAAATTATGGAAAAAAATATTATTTTTGCTAATTGTTATTTTTTCTTTTAAGTAAAATAAAGCTCGCAAAAAATTGAACCTTTTGGAGTTAATTTTGTACACGTATGTCGCCATAGCAACGGACAATCTCTTACTAAAACTAATACGATTAAAAATTAGAGGCTTCAAAATATATAAAAACCCCAATATCTCTTGAACAATTTTAAAAATGTGCTGTTTTAACGTGACAAAGTGATGAACAATGGAACTTTTTGAGCCACCTTAAACGCGATCGTGTAAAATTAGTCAATTTTTATGGCGTAACTAGAAGGATAAATGGGTGGTGAGTATTCATACATTCAGTTCTGTCCGAGAAATTTCTTTTGTATTTGCAATAGCCATTGTAAGCTATTGGAGACCTAAATAATTATTAGCTATATTGTTACCTTCCCCTAGCAAAGTTCGTTCGACTCGAAAAAAACCCACCATTATTATTTTTCTCGTATCTACAGTTCACGCATGTTTTAAATCCCCCGAACTTAAACCGCTCCCGCCTATTTATACCCGTGTACATTAAATAAATTATTGTTCATTGTTGCTTCATAACATTGTCCAACACATCAATATGAAAATTTCGCCCAAAATTTCCAGTGATTGCATACTCTTTAAAATGTAGTTTTGTTTATAGTTTCAAATTGATTAGTCTTCACTTCGTTTAATAATTATATTATAATTATTTTATAATGTAATAACTTCATATATATGATTTCGCACTTCCGCGCTATGTCTCTGACCAAAGTATAACATGAAAATTTTAATCTTACCGTTTCAGAAATCTTATATAAATATTGCTAACGAAATAGTAGAGGAAGGTTCCCTGACAAGTGCAATTGGACGAAAGAGCGGATCAAACATTGCGAATCAATAAGATACACCACTGCCTAATAACATTTACAACAAGGACATGGTCTTGAACCTTGAATACAGTCTTTGTTCATGTGTCATTTTGTTTATGTTTATGTATTTAATTATAAAGTGTGTTTGTGTTAAAAAGACGAAGAATCCTTCCACAGTGTTGCAATAGTCGCGATTTAAATCACGTCGTTAAATATATGAATGATAGAAGATGATACCAAAGAGAGTGATGGCTGGTTTTCGCATGCGCAATGTAAACCAAAGTTTTCACGAATAATTGCGCCAGAGAAAATATTGAAATAGCCTTAGGCGCGCATTCTGTAATATGTTTGAAAAAGTCTTCATAAAGTAATTCATTTTTCTCGCTTGCGCCAGCAAATAGTTAACACAACGACCAAGGTCACCTTTGAGCAACTTTTACTGAATATAATCTCCGAATTTTTTGCACGAGGACGCTTTCACCTGCCGTTCAGTTAACTGCATAAATTAACTGCATATAGTACTTTGCTGTTTATGGACTTTGAAAACAATAATTAATGCGGAATATTTATCAGCAATTTATGCAGAAATAAATAATTATAAATTTGCATAGAGGGGCCAAGTCGTCATGCTGTTGAAGTGCGAGCATGACTGGAGTGTGAGCGATATGTTCGGCTTATTGAGGTAGCACTCGTCCTCTACAAATGTTGCTCAATTTGCATTTACTGAGGCCATTTAAGTATGACTTATATAAGTCGCACTCGCATCTGTTATAAAAATCAGTGAAGTGTAGCTTACTTTAGCGCAGAGACACGATACTACATACTACACATAACCAATACGGGCGTGCAAGATGTCCTAAATAATACGAGGAGTGATTTCCGCAAAAATTGAACTTCACATTATGTTAATTTGGCAACATTTTATTTTGTTATTCTGGTAAGTATTGCATTTTAACAATATATATTTCATTATATTATCTAATTGGTATGCCAATAAGAGGAAGATACTCAACTCTAACATTGGAAGAACTTGACTCGACAATCAGAGAAATATATTAAGATTTCAGCCATAAACAGGCAATAAAAGAATGACGGGTTACCTAGCTGCTCGTGATCACAGAGTTTAGCAAAGAAAAGTCAGGGAGCCAATGCGCCGTGCTCATCCCGCTGGAACTCCTATTCGGCTTTGGAATTAAATGTCATAAATCGTAGGAGCTATATTCAGTGCCATCTCCGCTAGCTCTTCGGCACATTGATGGTAATCATATATTGATCAGGTATAGTTTTTTGTACGCAGAAAAAGGGTCATTCAAAGATATCCTGTTATAATTTACTGTGTGTAAAAACGGCATCAAGGTGAAAATTTCATTTATATTTTTTCCTTTTGAGGGCTTGCCGTCTAAAGATTTTTTATCACTAGAAAAAATCATCCTGTTTAAAAAGTTTCTAATCTAATGCTAGTGGAAAAGGTCATGAAATCGACATTTCGATTTAACAACCGATAGGGATGAGAATTTGAAATTCGTTTATACATTTCATTTTATTGCATAAAGTCAAAATAAATTGGTAAATGATTATGTAATTTCTTCGCTAGATCCCTTACAAACTACAAAATTTACATTGGAAAAAATAATTTATTATTTTCATATTTGCTATAAAATTATTTACGTAATTGGAAACAGGCCTCTTTTCGACTCCGTTGGGTCTGTATTTTGCTAATTTCGTGTAACAAAATCTTCACTTCCTTCAAAATCGATTAACTGAAATGTAATAACTTTTGTTTTATCTTCAATTGCGCTTTCTGACTGATGTATCACTTTCATTATAATTATAGGTGGAGGTTTGTCATCCATGGAGGAATTGATGGGTTTTTGCGTATGATTGTTTTTTGTCCTGTTTCATCAATAACAAAGCTGCCACAGTTTTTTCACACTTCGAGCAAGCATGCCGTTACTCAGTATGGGCTACCATCATGGGTCCGGTCAGACAAGGGAGGTGAGAATGTTGACGTGGCCTGGTTTATGTTGACTCATCCACTAAGAGGGCCTGACTGGGAAAGTCACATTACAGGACGTAGTGTCCACTATCAGAAAATCGAAAGGTTGTGGAGGGATGTGTTCTCTGGTTGTACCAGTTTATTCTGGCTGTTTATCCAGTCGGGTATCCTAGATGTCTCAAACGAGTGTGATTTAGCAGCTTTGCAATTTGTATACGCGAAGAAAATAAATGAAAGTTTGGCAATATTTAAAGATGGGCACAACAGTGCACCAATCAGCACAGAAAAAAACAGAGTCCAGAGCAGCTGTGGATAACGGGATTGCTGAAAAATAGAAACTCATGCAGGTGAAAGAGTTGCTCACGAGTTCAACAACGAGGTAAATCAATGGACGACTTGGCTTTACATCAACGACAAAGGCCATTTTCTAAAAGAGCTTACTAAAATTAGTAAAACTGCCAAGTTTGGCTGGGACTTGTTGTAAATTATGGAAAACATAGCCATACGAGTTGAAGAATTTTGTATACTTTTGTTTTACTCCACGAAGTTTTGGGAAGAGTATTGCACCGGCATCGCAAAAGCGTAGGTTCGATTCCTGCCGAAAGACCGATAGTTGACTCATTTTCCATCGACTGTTCCAGGTTATTTCTGGTTCAATTGACCTAGCTCCTCGGTGATCATTAATGCATTGAATGATTTAGTTACCGCACTAAACATTTGTCTGCGCCGGAACATGCAATATCCAATGCAACTACGGATTCCTTACGACTAAACAACTCCGAATTGCAACTGCAAATGCAACAGCAAACTGCAACTGCAAATGCGACTGCGCTGTCGCATTATTTTGTTACAAGGGGTGATTTTATGTAAAAATATTCTTTAGAAATGAATAACCAGCTAGAGGTAAAGTCTTTCTATATAGAGGACTTTGCGACCGCTTGATTGAAACACTAACTCGGAAAAGTTAATTGTTAATCACCTCACGATTATTTTCCGTCGTCGCAAGTGCGTTTTCGCGCGAAATATACTAATATTTGAAAAGAGCATGTGACCGTATTTATCTGCGTCAGAGTTTTGTCTCCCAAGAATTGTGGTGCACGGCTCAGCTTGAAATCAATGGCTTATTTTCCGATGCGCGATTTGATTTCGCTCGCATGATAAGATAATTCCTCCAAGAGGAACAATTAAACCGTTCTTTTGATAATTATTCGTCATGATAATTGTGTTTCCAAACCAATACTATATAAGCATTTAATTAAAGCAGTTTATTATAAATTATGGCAAGCGTCACTTCCGATGCGATGGAGCTCCGTGATTGGCTGTGAAGAATTTTCAGCGGTCCATTACTTTCCCGTAATGGACCGGCGTTAGCGGCGATCTATTACGAGATGAAAAACAGATAAATTCTTAATTAAAAAAGCACAATATAATAAACTTTTATTATCCTCGCTTTTGCTCAGTCTTTACCGAGAAATATATATATAAGACTTCGATCTTTTTGCACAAACCTCGCTCTTCCAGCTCGGTCTGTTCAAAAAGACCTCGGTCCGATATTTCTCGGTAAAGACCTCGCGCTCGGTTAATAATAACAATTCAAGTTAATAATTAATGACCATTTCGATGGCCATTACGAGAACTCGAGAAGCTATTGGCTCATTAATCCTGAGAAATGGATGCCGCGCAAGGATTGGATATTTGTTGTGATGCAATTAAATTTGTTTATATAATACGGAAATTTTCCCTTCAAGTGGACGACGCTGGGTTTACTGCGTATAATAGAATCATTTAATTATACAACACGCCAAACTTAAATTGATAATTACAGCTAGTGCGTGTAATATACAGTTTGTATCCCGTAAAGCGAAGTCCATCCTTAAAGTCAGCAGCAGCCATATATTATCAAGGTAGGGAAATATTAAGCTTGCCCTTAAGAGGAATATCCATTTTGTACCCCGTTCTAAGCTAGGTTATCGCTAACCCTGCATGGGTTAAATTTTGATCCGTTGTTTTAGTTTACGTGCTTCTGCACTGTCGCTTGTTTAAAATCTTTACAAAATATGATTTCTATTGAACCAGAAAATACTCGTGGTAAAAATATTCAACTTTTATGAAGAAGCGATTAAAAAAATTGATGTAAAAATTTGCGTTAACCCTGGGAAAGTTAAAAGGCTTTTGAACAACCGACCCCACAATTAAATGAATATGTTATATATACGCGCACGCATGCAATTTCAAAGTATTCATATCGGATGCAGAAATATAATAAATAAAAGACATGGATTGTATACATCTAGATGCTTTGGTATTTTCAATGCTCACTTTGCTTGGTAAGCTTCCATTGAAATTGGATAAGTTGTCTGTGAATTAGTTTTTCGAAAATTTTAGTTGAGATCTTATTATTATTGGGAATTGCTATTAAAGATATTCAGAACATACGATGATATATAGTGCCAAAAATGCAGGCATTTCCCAAATTTCATTATACTGGGGTGTTTAAATAAAAAAAAAACGAAAAAATAAACCAGTTGGAATAATTTGTTATAGACACATTTTTTATTTTTTTTCTGGTAATGGCAAAACAGCATCTACGAGACTTGTGTCACAGGATAAACAAAAAAATATGAAATTAAAATTTTCCGGCTTCATAGAAGAAGTTTTAATTATACCACATCCGTAACAAAAAATGGGACAAAAATTTTTAGTACTAGATCATGCAAGAGCACAAATTAATGCGTAGCGTATATATATTCTCGACAACGCAAAACAAAACGACGGTTTTGCTATCAAAGCGTTAGGGACGAGTATAGTCATGATGAATGTATTTTCTAAACTGAGATTAAGTATAATATTTAACTTAAACTCTATGGACCATTTCAATGGTCGTCGCGAGAAATCGGCTCACGATTAATGAGAACGAAGCGCTGGAAAAACCACTGGGCATTTGCGGTGAGATAATTAAACTTGTGCATGTATACGGAAAATTTTAAATGGACGAAGCTTGTTTTAGTCGAAGCTAAAGCAGGCCTAACCTCACGCTTGGTAATTGCAGCTGCATGGCGTATTGTTGAGTTTATATAATATTGTATTTTATAAGAGAAAAATCTATCCTTGAAGTCATCCACAGCCATTTTTAAGGTAGGGCAATATTAGCTTGTCTTTAAAAGCGATATCTATTTTGTTTCCCAAAATTACAAATGTTCATTGAATAATTTTGACATATATCCCAGTGTGCGCATGCAAATTTTAAATAATATCTGTAATTCATTGACTATAGCTATAGACGCCGAAATATAAACAAACGACAGCTATATATTTGAACAAAATTCGGTCTTTCATCTTCATATGCGTGTATACACGTGCAGTTGAAAATTTTTTAGGACAAGTTTTAAAAAATACTCGTTGCATAATATAGGAAAGCTATATATACAGCAGGTGCATGTATACCTTAATTGGTAAACATGAAGTAATTAACGGGTAATTTGATCTGAACAAGCGCAACAGTATTAGTCATTTCTACCCTTTATTTTAGTACATCAATACTAATCCATGCCGGGGTATATCATAGCAAACCAATTCATAGGTATAATTTTAGGCTATACCTATGAATCTTCCTCCACACATGATAAAACGGTTGCGTGAAATATTTAATCATTTCCAACACTATTAATTCTGTTAAATCGAAGAACTTCTTCCAAACTTTCACCGCCGAAACACATTTGCCGCATGTATGGCAGTCACTATACCAAACGCATCTTTCGCTCATACTAATACTGTGTCGAACGACGTGCTCATAAATCCTTACGTTTTTCTGTGTTCGTTATGTTAGGTGACATATATCACCCGTAGTTTAGATTGCAGTGAATAGGTATAAACATTGTCTGCATGTAACATAAGAGACGAGGTGACTCCTTAACCTTATACAGTCTCAGTCAATAGCAGTTCATATATGTCATTCTGTTTTTTGACAATCGAATGAATCAATAAAACACAAGTTTGGAAAAGCTCTCGTCGAAGACAAGTTAAAAAGTACAAAAACCGAAAGAACGCCTCCCGGGTTTGGCTATGTATGTCTTTTCAATAAACCTGTTGGCTCACCTGTTTTCAGGCAATGGCAATAACAGCATCTAAGAGACTTGCGTACTCTTGAGAATAAACGCAAAGCAAAAGAACAAAACAAAACAACAAAATTTCACAGCATAAACAGCCGCGAAAACGCATTGAATTGTAAAACGAATAAGAGGCATTCAAGGTTCGTCTCTCACAAAGTATTAATTATCAGATGTAAAATGGGAGAAAGAATTTTAGTACTAGAACACAAATGCGTAGCGTGCACTTTCCACAACGCAAAACCACGGTTTTGCTATCAAATTAATTAAACTGACTCTAAGGAGCATTGCGATGGTCGTCGCGAGAACTCGGAAAGTTATTGGCTCACGATTAATGAGAATGAGGCTGCTAGGCAAGCATTGCATGAACACTTGTGGTGATGCAATTAAATTTGTGTATGCGGAATATTTTAATTTAAAGTGGACGAAGCTTGTATCGGGGAGCTAAAGCGCGCCTATATATAACCTAACGCTTGGTAATAACAGTTGGCGTATTATAGAGTTTTTTGTATTCTATAAAAGCAAAATCCATGCATCCTTAAAGACAGCCACGGCCATATAACAAGGTAAGGAAATATTAAACTTTCCCTAAAGAGCGATATCGATTTTTTTTCTAAATTAAAATTATACAAATGTTCATGTGAACAATTATGTTATGTTATTCGTGTGCGCATGCACATTTAAAATATCTATAGCCGTCGCACGCGAAAATATTCTCTTGGAATTCTAATTATATTCTGTTGTCATAAGCACTATTACAAGCAGGAGACAGCCCGATCTCAGGAAAAGAAAATCACACAATATCTGTAGTGAATGGCCCAGAAAAACATGAAACTTGAAAAGAGTAATTTTCAGATGTTTTCAATGATATAAATAACTCAATACCAACAACAATATTTCAATTGGAGTACCAGATCTCATGCTAGAATATTTCCTGGGTGGAGATTACAAATTTATTCTGATGACGATGGGCTTGAAACGAGCTACGTACGCGTCAAATCACTCGTGTGTCTGGTGCAAGAAATGTAAGGAGGACAGATGGGTTATGAGTTATGATATGCATGGAATATTATAAAACTCATCCTCTGAAACACACCCTTGAGGAGATCATTAAGAAATCAAAAAAGAAAGGAAAGAAGGACAAATATTGTTACGAGTTTGAGCCGCTATTGCACATCGATACTGATCACATCATTTTAGATGAGTTACACCTTTTATTACGAAGTAAACATTGTATTACAATTAATTATAATTGTTTTTGGCATGAAATATTATACTCTTTCATCATTTGGGCAATGAAATTTAATTTAAAGAGTTTTTGGAACCTTGTTTATGTCAAACTGCCATGCGTTCCGATAAATAGCTATATTGCGGTAAATGTCGACTTGGCGACTCCTGAAACGCTTTCATCCAAAAGTTCTACTGTTGAGAAACACTTCGAAAGCATTTTCGCTATTTGATCTTGTATAATACGGCGTAAAGATAAAAATATAACGAGAATGATACGAGAATTATTTGCCATCAATTATTTTCTTGCACGAGACCGGCCAGCTCACGCGTATACAACAGAACTCTTTTCTCAGCTAGTATAGGTTAAACCGCTAAAATATGTTTCGCAAGGAGTAAATATTTAACGCCATCTCTTGCTCGCCTCTAAAAATCAGTACGCGTTTCGACTTTTGAGCTTTATTTAATTTTAGAAAAGCGGGGCGGACGCAATCGTCAGTGAATTCGGCCAACACCAGACGCCTGAAACGCTGGTTACATTTGAACAAATTAATTGATTGACAGCGGCTTAGACTCGCTGCCAAATCCGTCAGTCATTCGTCGTCGTGGCCTTGCCCGATTTCAGGATCGCCTGCAATACAGTACATGATGCAGGCTATATCTCACGCTGTTCACACTATCATTTGCCACAATTAACAATTAATTTAGGTCTCAGCTATTATATGAATAAAAATTAAATTTACTTATTTTTTTAATTCACAGTTCCAAGACTTGAGAGTATTCAACATCTCTACATCATGAATGTTCACAAAATTTTTCTTTTCCACATTTTGATGTTGTTTACAAAGACGTCCAGTTCAATGCAACACAGCGCCATTTTAAGGCTTGCAGCTTCAGGTAGGCGATTTTCTAGTTACATTATTTTTGCTTTTCGCCCTTGCCTAACTGCATGCATCATTAATTCCTGCTAAAAACCCTAGTTGTTTTTTGCGTAGTTCAATTTTCTCGTCATATTAGAAATAAAATGATACATTTGAACAACAGAATTTAGCTAGCAAAATAGCAACATTATTCATGTACTATTGACCCCCAAGTTATAGCAATGATTGTTAGTCAAAAGTGTTGGTTCGGAAATACTTTAATGGTTTCGTTTGAAAATTATATCCCACGAGAAAACCTATTTTCGTTACTTTTTCTCTCCTTTTTTGTTCCATTGCTGTTTAGTTTGTGTGTAAAAAACTTAACGCGATTTTGTTTGTTTTCGCAAAAGACTTAATTGTATACTCCTCTCGACCAATCAGCATCCGGTAATTTCAATATGCTAATTATATAACAACTGAAATTAGCAAAATAATTTGTTGAATAATTAAAAGCAACAAAATGTCCTCAAAAATTTCCTGCAACGTGCAGTTTACCATACATAGTGCTAGAAAAAAAAATAGGCGAAAACCTTTTTAATCCCCTTTGTTTTATTATACAAATTTGTCGAAGTACAGAAATTTGTCGTCATCTGGAAATTTTTCGCGATAAGCGATAAGATGAGACCTATAGAGATGAGACTATTATTATCATTATTATTATTTTAGGCGTTGGGACATGATCTTTATATATTGATATATATATATTTAAATATTTTTTCGTTTCGGCCTTTATTTATGTAATGTGATTTATTTACCCATAGATATAATGCTCGACATGAATTTTGCATACCCCTTACGCAGCTCAGTTTTCTGAAACGAGCTCCGTCTTCTGCAGACTGCGATGTCACGCTTAAACTGATTGTTTGTGGTTTGGGTATTCGGTCTCGTTAATTTTGCACTCCATTACCTGTCGGTCTTTTAGATAGAGCACAAAGTCCATCGTATTAATATTGGTAGTTGCGCTGAGTGGAGTGCAATTTAGTGTGAAATCAAACGCGTGATTAAGACGGACGACCACGAAGCGGGAGTGTGATTCGTAATCACAAGTTTATTTCACACCAAAATGGCACGTTTATTTATATTCATTTTGAAATCATACAAAAAATTAAACAAATTCAAAACTACGTATTTATTTGCTGATTTATATTTCATTTATTTTTGTCAAGGAATTTTGTACGGCATTAAATTCAAAATAATAAAATTTTGTGCCTTTCTTTTCTGTAATTTGATTGGATAGTTACACTGAAGTACTAAATCTGTTTGGTTATTGTGGTGCAAAGCTTCAATCTTATATTGGAGCTTATAAATGATGTGATTAATGCTCAAAAAATAGTGTGATTTGCCAATTAATCACACTATTTTTAACCAATCAGATTGCAAGAAACATCATTGATTTCAAAATGAATATAATAAGAGTTTTAATTATCGTCGGCAAGCCTTATCCCCTTGGGGTACACCTTGCCTCCCCTCTGTTTATAAAATGACATTACTTAAGTTTCTTATATTCTTTCTAAATATTTTGTTTTTATTTTTATGTGTTGTTTTTCGATTCTATCTTTCATTCGTGCAGGTTTTAGGCTCGTCCATCATGTAATTCGCACATACAATTCACCGGATGCTTTGAACTGTGCTCAGAATTGCTTGGCTAAACAACCCTTTTGCAAATCCATAAATTTCGATACAGAAAAACAGTTTGGTTCTGGCATGAACTGTGAGCTGAACAACGCAACAAAATTAACAAGACCAAAGAATCTTCAACCAGTAAAAAACGTCCATTATTACGAGGTAGTTGAAGAGGTAAGGCAACGTTCTTGGCCTAAGGCTTTATTTCCATGTTTTGTATTATAATTATGGAATGTCACTGTATACATGTCCTTATAGCATGCAAAAAGCCACTTTCCATACATCCACTTTTTTATACACCCTTATCTCCTTCGAGGCTGATAAATGTCCATATTTTAGACCGACAAGCATGCATGTTTATATATCTTCTCATTGTAGGTGAAATCCAAAGTAAAACAGGATAGGAATTCGAACGATTCGTCAGCCATGAAAGGTGGACTAACTTTCTTCATTGTGGATGCATGGGCTTAAATGGGAACAAATATAATGCAACTCGTCTTATGAAACGTTTAGCGTGGCATACTAGTATGAAAACCAAAATTATTACAATACTTTAATTCGAAGGTCGAATAACAACAACAAAAACGATTGTATTGCAGGACGTATTTCTGATAAATTGTTTTAATTTCAATGGATCGAGTTTTATAGATCCTAATTTAGCAATCTGACGTTTCCACATTAAAATGTTTCACTATGAAAATAATTCCAAATAAATGCAATCTATAGAAAATCTGGAAAATGTCGTCAAGAAGAGAGCCTAAAACGTTCAAGGATAACTGTTGCAAATGTTACACTGAAGTCTAATTAAAACTTTAATATCGTACACACGACCCGATATCTTGTCTTTATTTCCAAAATTAACCTTAATCACGATATCTTAATCATGCCCAGGCGAAGCGATTCGGTATATGCTTGTATTTCATGCATTATATTCAGTGAGGAGAAAACAAGACCTCGTTAATTTTATATTTTTACATTCAAAGTTGTTTTTCGCAATATATTACAATCTAAGTTTTCACTTTTATTAAGTTTCAAGTCCTTTTTTGAAGTTGTGCTGAAATGAATAATTATATATTATATAGCTATATAACTCTAAGTTTTAAAAATCAGACTTAATCCAAAGATTTAATTTTACACAGTTTTCGCATATCTTTTAAATACAAAGTACACCGCTATTTTAAAAGGCTACAAAGTGGTGAAGTAAAGGCGGATTTCCACTTACAGCGAAATCTTTCGCTAGCGAAATATTTGCATATTTTCTTTTGAATTGAGAACAGTCAAGTCGCCGTAATTTATTTATGCTGTTAAAATTCAAAAGAAAATATGTAAATATTTCGCTAGCGAACGATTTCGCTGTAAGTGGAAATCCGCCTTAAGAGTCGAATTTATTAAGTGTTGTTATAATTTTGAAAATTTGAGATGAAACGTTACCCGATTTCAAAACACCTTTTAGAGGGCATTGGTATCACTCCTTTTATCCTCAGTTAAAAACATTTAAAGATGTGGTTCTAATCGTTTTAAAAATGCATTCTCGTATTTGGTATATTTCTGCGTGAAACCATGATGAATATAAATTTTTGTTGTACGCGTTTCCAACAAACGTATTAACGCGGAAAAAGTCGTGTCCGTGAGAACTTCGAGAAAGCGTAATTTTGATGATTTTATTATGATTACTTTTATTATGATTTTATTATGATTATCTTATATATTACTATTTTATTTTGATGTTTGTCCTGATCTTGTTTTAGGAAACAATTCGTTCCACGCAAATTTCACAAATCTTGGGGCTTCTGGCCGTCTTGGTCCTAAATTGCTTGGTACTCACTATGCTGGTAAAGACAATGAAAATATGGTGACTGTCCAAAATGGTACACAGTTCTGGACAGTTCCGCACACTGGTACATACGAAATCACAGCAGTTGGTGCGACAGGAGGCTACCAAAGTTCTTTCTTAAGTACACCAGATCGAGGCGCGTACATGAAAGGAGAATTTGATCTTAAGAAGGGACACGTGATAAAAATATTGGTTGGGCAAAGTTGTGAAACATTACCGTTTTGTGGAGGTGGAGGAGGAACATTTGTAGCTACGTCATCGAACACTCCAATCATCGTCGCAGGTGGAGGGGGTGGTTGCTTTAATATCAAAACTCTTTTGCCAAACAGCAAAGCCAGTACCGGGACATTTGGAAGGAGTAACGCGTGTGGTGGGAATTGTTCTATCATCTCCGGAGGTGTTAATGGAAATGGCAGCTTGAATGTACATGATGTTTATTCCTGTAAGTTTTTAAAAGTTAAACCACAAAAATTCATTTTATAGCCAGAAATATTTGCTACGATGGTTCGTAATTTTTGAAGAAATTATTTTTACATCTGAATATGGATGTCATGTTTTTGTTCTATACACAGCTTGTCCCATACGAGCTTGAAATTCTTCATGCCCATGTCCTCCCTTCTAAATTATTACCACGAGTGTTATGCAACATTTTGTGTCTTTTATTATTGTTACTCCGTTTGTTTTATTAATAAAAGGGTCAAAATTACGGCGCTTATATAGCGGGCGGTGAAACGCGCTCACTGCGCGCTGATCGATGTGTCCGATGTTGAAGTGGACTGGCGCGAGCGTGATTTTGTCAAATTCTAGGCAAAAGTGGCCAGGAGTGTGCTTGTGATTCTTGTTATCCCCGAGCCGGTGCGGAGCACCGTGCGAGGGTACTAATTCCGCCCGGAGATTAGGAATTACACCCGGGACCCGGGAGAACATAGCGGAATCCAAAGTTGCCCAAATGTCATGGACGTTCAATGGTCATGGTACTTGTGCGCATGCGCGAAATGCGAACGAGTGTTGACTGGTAATCAGCAACTTCCTGATTGGCTAAGACGAAACGTTTGTGTTTCAGTGAAAAACGTCAGCAATTTAACTGTCATTTTGCAAACTATTTTTTAAAAAAATATTTCGAAAACAAAATATGAAATGTGGAATCAAATAACAGATAAAACACTGGGAAGAGTTTAAAATACTATCAGAACTAGAGGAATTAGCGGTGAAAAGGGATAACTCGATTATAATCCTTGAAATGGTAGGAGTCTATTTTGTTTATTTCGAGGTTTATTTTGTGTTTGCTGTACGAATACATTTTATGACCTTGGTACAGTATGTCGTTTTGCTCAGTTTTGCGAAGACGTGAACGACTATTTAAGGCTTTACATCATCGTTTTAACTTCCAAAAGAGTCCTTAAAAGTGTAATTCGGAGTTTTAATATAACAAATATCACTTTAAAGGTTTATATATAGTCGACTGCAATCACTGCATGAATTTAATAATCGAAAAACAACATTCGACGTTCACTGCTTGGTTATTTATATTATTTGGGCTGTTTTAATTTTTTGAAGCTTTAGCTATAATGAAGTATTAACTCTCACTTAAACTGTGAAAGTCTATAACTTAATGCAACGGAAAGCAGCAGGAAAACGGGTGATTTCACTTCACCTTTACGACTGTGTTTGTTTCCTAAATATTTGAAACATCAGCTATCGGCTTTACATTTAGGACATTTCATAATATTGAAGGTTAGGTCGGGCTAGCTCAGGAAATATTTTGCTTTGTTTGAAATGGCGACGGGTTGCTGCATGCATGTATTTCTAGTATATTTGCTATTATTTGACTTGTATAGTGCCTAGTCTCGCTAATGTTTCGCGCACATTAAGCGGTTTCCAGTAGGCGCAAGGAAATGCCTGAAACTGACGAACACGATTTATAGATATAATTCGGATAGGAAATACACTGGCCCATATATGAGCCGATAGAATAGATGTGTCATGTCTGACTTGTCTTTTATATACATCGTCGGAGAATTTGTACATCACATAAAATTATGTATTATTAATATATTCATAAATACACACTATGTGAGTGCATCAGTAATTCTATTTCCCCAGTGAATTTGCCTGGCATTGAAAATAGTATAGGAGAATCCTAAGCCTCAATATTTGATAGAAATTCACTATGTAAATAGGTATGCACTATCTGCGATCGTATAAAGTTATTTATCTTCTACACAGTAATACAGCGTGAAGATAGAATAACGAAAACGCTACTACGTCTACACTCAGCTTTTTATATTTATATTACTTTGCCAATATTTTCTTGCACGTAAAGTAACTATAGTAGGTGGGACGGTATCGTAACTGGTAGGTAGAACGGCTAAAACATTATTCCCAGAGAATAAATATTTACCGTTAAACTCCGTGGAACGAGAACCTAAATGATATAAGCATTACATGTATTGCATGCATTCATGGTAACATTTTAGCCGTTTTCGCATTTTTCTAAAAACGCAAAGAAAATACTAGAAAAATAATATTTTTTTTCAAAATCCTAAAGATGGTATGAAGTGTTTTATTTATTAAAACACTAATATGCATGGAATAACTTATTATATACGTATAATAATTTTTTGTTGAGTAATGTTTTGATAAAGTAAAGTAAGTACGAAATTCCATTTTTAGGTGGCGGAGGTGGCGGATTTTATGGCGATGGGCCCAGCAGTAGATATGGTGGAGGAAAAGCATTTGTGAATGGGGGAGAAGGAGGCGATGGTTATAGCGTTTTTGACGGAGGGTTTGGCGGGGGAGGAGGTGGAGGAGGAGGACAAGCTGGAGCAGGGGGATTTCAAGGAGGAAGAGGAGGAGGATATTCCGGAGGAGCACCTGGCGTTGCCTTCGACAACTCTTGTGGAGGAGGAGGTGGATCGTTCAATAATGGAAGGAATCAATTGAATAAGGAAGGATATCCTGGTGGTATCCATGGTTTTGTTGAGATAAAACTTTTGATTTAAGTTTATTTTGCACGTGTTTATCTACGCATTTTTCCTAGTTAACGCTCTATAGTTTGGCCATGCGTACATCATGAAGCAACAAGGCCGTAACCAGAAGGATAATTGGAGGGTGGGGGGTGTATATTTATATTTCAGTTCGGGCGGACGGATTTCTATTGTAAGCAATTACACGTACAAAAGAAATTCGTCGGGCAGAACTAGATATATGAGTATTCACCCCGCCCTTCAATTACCGTTCTAGTTACGCCATTATCTAGCAAGAATAATATGCAATTTATGTACTCTTATCGGGAGATCGATTAACAAAGCTTGACATACAATGTTTTCAACATTGAAATGAGTAATTTAGACTTTTGTTTCAAGGTACTTTCAGAGTAGCATCCGTAACATGCAGATTAATATCAAGCTCACTAAAAACTTTGGTAAAAAAAGAAGCTTTCATGCATTTTAAAACCATAATGTACTCTAACTTTCAGTACGCAGGTTTTTTTTTTGAACAGTCACTCCAGTCAGTCATAATAAATGATATGTTACATGGAATGTAGCTGTTTACAGTTTCTTGAAAATGATCAATTTAATTTAATAGTGTGCATGATGTATTCTATAGTTTGAAACAATCTTGAGAAATATAGATAGAATGTCATGCTATTTCGAAATCTCATTATATTATAATTATTATCATTATTGTAATACACGTATTTACACAATGAAATTTTATTAGCTCACACATGTATACATCAATGAGTAAATATAGCCTCGTTGTATAAAAATGCCAGTTATGTCTACCATAATAAATCTTCCTAAAATGTCCGTTTGTGTCTTTTAGTGATGTTACACACATATAGGCTATAGGTAAACAGCAATGATTAAGTTGCAATTGAGCGGCATTTAACAGCATAGCTGATATGTCAGTTTTTTTCAAATCACCCATAAAGAGAAAAGACATTTTTTCCAAAAATTTTATGTGAGAACCCGAAATTCAAATTTTAGTAAAGCTATAGACCAATTGCGAAACTTAGTAACCGTGCCTTCGCGCAACATGGAAAGAGGGTTATTATGCAAAAAGAATATTTGTTTTTTTTGCAGTACAAAGTTATTCGCCAGGTAACATCCCGGTTTTCGCCTTGGGTTTACACATTTTTTCAATGCCTTTAAGCTTGGTTTCATCGTTGTTATCATAGTTTTTAGGTGAGGTAGTTTCTCCTTTCAATTGAGGCATTTTTGTGGTGTTTTCATTAATCTTTTCGGCTGCTTTCGTAGGGGAAACATGCATGGAAAAGGCCGACAAAAACTCAGGTAAAAATTTAGTTTTTTCCAAACCATTTCGTCTCAAGTTTTGAAAATTTATTTGATTTTTCCTCCTCTTATTTGTGCAAATTTTGGCGATATATATTTGGTGCAAAAACCTGTTTTTGTGACAAAAATTATTGAAAAGTGACAGTCAGATTATATAATGTTCACACCTGATCTCTGAAATGGTCTCATTTATTTAAATTTATTCACAAATATCACTGTATTTTTTTCATCTTTATACCACAGTAGTACTGTAAAAATGGTCAAAAGTAAATCACTGAAATATTTTTGAGTATTTTTGTTTCAATAAAGTACAGACGGTGCATAGCTTGCATGCCAGCCTGAAGGCCGAATTTTATTTAAAAGTCGAATTCGAATGCATTTGAGTTCTGCATTTGTGTCAGTACAAAACACTATTCTTTCTATCTATCTACTACCATGAAATATATGTTTAATAAGGATTAACCAGGAATACTTGAAAAGGAAAGGATTCCGTTCACCATCGTGAACGGAAAAATACTTGCGAACTCCGCTTCAAAAACGCTGCAGCGCGCATTGTGGCAACCTTTATAGTATAATATCGCGGGAAATAGCAATTCAAAATAGACAACGATATTATGTCTTGGTTATAGGTATTTTACTATCCAAGTCATGCCGTAAAATTGCTATAAAATTACAGCTAATCGATCGATAAGATTGGTACAAAAAAATTTTTAATGAGAAATGTGAACATGGTGGTTTGTTCGACCTTGACTTTCAATAATTTTTGTCACAAAAAAATAGATTTTGCACCAAACATATAACGCCAAAATTTGCACAAATAAGAGGAAGAAAAATGAAATACATTTTCAAAGCTTTTGACGAAATAGCTTGGAAAAAAAATTTTACCTGAGTTTGTATCGACCTTTTCCATATTTCCCCGATGAAAGCAGCCGAAAAGATTCATGAAAACACCACAAAAACGCCTCAATTGAAAGGCAGAACTCCCTCACCTGAAAACTATGATAAAAACGATGAAACGATGAAACGATGATTTCGCTGGGGGAATTCGCGTGGATGAGCGTTATGTTGTCCTGTATTGCAACAGAAAATTGGTGTAGCTCATGTTTCCAGGGTCTTCTTTCAATGCGAGCGGCTCGTACTGCTTTTCCAAAGGCATGCATAAGTCTTTCAGCTTCTGCATTGTCCTGGGGCCATTTAGATGTTGAATGGGTATCTTTAATTCCAAGATATAGCCTAGAGCTGTCAATAACGATCATAATTATTCTGCCCTATATTGAAAGGCGGTTCATTTTCTGTCTTGATAGTTGGGATATCATGACGGCCGAAGGAAGCATTTGTCAAGCGTACTACTTCAACCTCTGGATATCTGGAATGGCAATCAATTCCGACCAGAAGATATTCTCCCAAAGAAAATGATCCGTAGAAATTCAAATGTATCGTTTCCTGTGGTCCTTTTGGTATTGTTGTCTTTGATATTTGGCTCTTGCGGCGCTTGACACAGGATGCGCTTTTCGATTGTTACTTTCACCATTATATCCACATTCGGAAACCAAATCTTTTCTCGGATTAATGCTTTCGTTTTGGTGATGCCATGATAGGTTTAGTGCACAATGTCAACTGCACTTTGCTGTAGCGATTCTGGTATCACTAGTGATACGAGAAACCACGCCTTTTGTTGTCACCGCAAGTTCTTCTTTATTTGTTTATATGACTTGACTATTCCTCGTATAGTGCCCTTTGCTGAGCTTTATATAGCTGCCCGAACCTCTCCAAAGGTTTTATATTATTTTGTTCTTTGCTTCTTTGATTTCCTCTATCATTAGTACTTCGGAACACTGTAGCGGGCGATAAAGTTTACATCTTCCTCGGTAATTTTCTGCTGTTTTTAGCTTCGTCAATCTTTTGTATCTGTTACTTTGTTAAGACGAAAATTGACCAGGCCAAGTTCGTCTGCGGTTGTTAATGATATTAGATGACGGTTCTTTGTCGTTTCTGCGACGTAAGAAGTTTCCACTGCAACTCGCGCGACGTCGAGTCTCAATAGTTTTATCAAACTTGCCGATGAACTTTCCTGGTTTGCTATAGCAGTATACGCAAACGCTTTCATGTTCGTTTTCCTTCGTTCCCCTATACTTGAGATTACTTCGGTCAATGACGTTCATCGTTGCGCCCGTGTCTACGGTAGTTTTGAACGATCGTCCGCACATTTTAACATTGACTAATTTGGGGGTCTTCTAATTAGAAACTGGGTTTAGATAAATATTCTTTGTCAGACCTGTCCGTCTCGTTTTGAACTTCGTTAAGTGGATTTAATGGCTGTTTGCTGTTCTGTTTCGATTTCTTTTCATGTTAAAATGTGCGCTTGAAATGTGCTTAAATGCATTCTGAACAGTATTATCAAATTGTTTTTCTAGCACATGCACGCACCACCGTGACGTTGAATTAGTTCAATTGGTTTAAGCACTTTCGCATTAACTAACCACGTCTTGTTGATTGTACACGATGGGAATTGTCAAATTCCAGCCATAAGTTCGCGGATAATTTGAATTTGAAAGTTGTCAGTTTTTTTACTTACCCTGGAAAATTTAGATTACTTTGCATGATATTTTACACGGCCTGTTTTTAATCTCCTTCGCCCTCGTACATATTATCTCTATTATATATCCGCCTGTCCCTAACTGGCAATCAGTTCTATTGTTATTGTCCCAAGCCTAATTAGCTATAAATAAAAAATTATAGCATGTGCTCCCGAACTGTCCGTTTGTGATATACAACGCGCTAATATCGCATATCATTAACATTCTAAAAGTTGCTCCCCCACTATTGGAATTTGTTGCTGTGCGGAATATATGCACAGAACGGACTTTATACCTCATCCATAAGTATTTTTGCCCCTCCGATCACCCAGTAAAAATTCCCTATGTAAGGAAAAGATTGATAAAAAAGATTGCTTTAGTTCACGACAATATATTAGCGTTTTTGTATTTTGCAAGCCAAACTTTGTGGAATGTAATTTCACTAATATCATCTGTCGAGCGCGAAAAGGTATTAATTTGCATATCATTTTAAAATCAGGCAAGTAACCCCTTTCCAAGTACACCCCCTTCTACCTCGATCAATATTTATACTTCATCGCAACTGGGAGAGGTCTTTTTTTCGTAATGATTGACTCCCTCACTTTGAACTCTTTAAAAAGATTCCTGTATTTAAGTGCTCGTCAACGTGGCCGATGCCTCGTAGTAGGTGAACCCAACAATCGGTCATTGTAAATTATATAGCATGTACACACGAGTCTCAAGAAACAAGATGTTTATGTTCTAACACGCAAAAACAATCAAAACCTTATCGGCACTGTCTTTAGGGATTCCCTGACTACCTTTCTTTCTTTCTGTCCTATTTAGGGCTAGTTCCTTTGAGATTCAAGCAATAGCACGAGCCCTTAATTAAAGAAACTTTTGGCAAAGGAAATGGCTATTCCGATTTAACTTGACGATGACGGTCGTTATTTTGCGGTAGATATTATACAAAAAAAATGTCATAAAACGTGATAAATTTATTATAATCTTTTCGAAGGAATTGCATTACAAGTGTACATAAATATTGTCTACTGATAATGAATATATTTGTAATAAATCTTACATAAATTATACGTATAAACGTGGTTGGGGTATGCGCGAAGATTTGCGCTTGTATAGAATTCGAGA